ATTGCAGAGATGTCCCGAAATGTAGAACGTGTTTTGTACCGAACTGCCGTTCTGGCATTCGGAGTTGTGCGGAGCGTGTGCCTCTATTCAATTCAATGTGCCATCTGACAGTGATCGTCTGGAGCATCGGCGTCGTGCAATACCGAGGGCAGACCAAACTCTAATGCCTACGGACCATGTCTCGCTGCGCCGGGCATTTTCCCGAGGACATGATATCAACGGAATTCCACGCGGTGTTCAAGGGAAGAGTAAACTCGTGTACACTTATTGATATTATTTTGTTGTACGCTTTGTATACTGCATGCTGTCATATGAAGGGCTTTCAGGCACTCTCAATCTGTCTGTAACAGCTTTTCGCTCGAAGGGCTTCCAACAAATTGTAAATAATCGTTGGAAATAAAGATTTAATTGATTGATTGAATCGACGCGCCATAAAGACTTTACTATTGATATTGCGCGTTCACATTGAACAAGCGCAATTACGCTTCGACGATTTTTCTGCGTAAATGAAAGAAGTGATGCGCATGAAGTGCGTTTCTGGTGCAGTAACTATTCTCCTCTAATGGAGAGACAATAATTATTACTGGGAGTGTACGCGTCAAAACCATGATTCGGTTACGAGGGATGCCGTAGTGGAGGGCCCCTGACTAATTTTGACCATCTGGGGCTGTTTAACATGCACCTGCATCTAAGCACGTGGAGGTTCCTTGCACATTCCCCACCGGGAAATATTTTGATGGAGGGGTAGCACGCTTGCCAGCATTTTTCGCAGCTGGTAATGATATCACAAGGGTTGCGGGCACCAGTGGTCCGCCGCCGCCTGTGTCCTTAACCATCATCGCACGAAATAATAAGAAACTAAGTAAATAGAAAACATTAACAAAACAATGGGATACGAACTCGGGTCCTGTGCGAGCCAGCCTAGTAATCTACCACAGAGCCACGCCGGTGCTTTGAAACTTTATTTGCAAACTGGCCTTAAGTAATAAAGCGTTTTAGAACAGCAAAGGAGCAACCAGGCGGTACACAATGGGACTGAAGTTACGAGTGAGTCATCGAATGCTCCAACCTACTACAAAGGCTTCAGGCATCATTCTTCATATCGTCGTCAGCCACATCAAAAAATATTGCACGAAGTTCATTGCAAGTGTGTAGCGAGTAGCGCGCTTTTCCTAAGAATGACGAAGGATGGCATAGTGAATGCCTGCCTACTACACAAAATTACGATTGATTATGGCATAAAAGGCACGCGTTTCAAATTGCCCGTCCACATGCTCGCACTACTACTTTTTCTGCCTCTTTTTTCCCCCGTGTAGCAGTGGACTGGAATGGCCTTCCCTGTGACGTTCCAGCCATCACGTGTCCATCAACATTTAAAGAGAAGGTCACCACGCACATTTCCATTTGAAAACCTGTGTGCATTTACCTGTAACCCACCCCTTATGTAATACCCCCTACATGGGGGTCTTTAAGGTATTAAAGTGATGTGATGTGATGTACCGTGAAAGTGTGCTTATAGCAGTTCTCCAACGAGTGTTTAAAAACCGCTCTGAAAGGCTGCTCATACAGCTTTCGCTGTGACTGGGCTGTGCAGTGCGCGCAGGCCTGGCGTTTGTTTTAATTACTTTTTACTTGCACCGAGGAATGCCGCGAACAGACAAAAACACCTAAACCTGGCACTTTTATTTTTTAATCATTAATAACATTTTCCTCGTGCTTTGAGTGTTACGCCACTTGGAATGTAAACGTTTGAGAAGCAGAGGAATTTCAATGTGCCAGCACCGCTCCGCTGGTTGGATGGATGTATCTGGCTCTGCCCTTTAGATCGGGTGGTGTATCGCGCCACCTAACCATAAAGTTAAGTACTATCACTCTGTGTTTAAGGATTGAATTTCACTCGCGCCTCGATCGTAGCCACCAATTAGTTAGCCTCCTCCTGGCTATTTCTACCGGTTTAAAGTCTATTTTGCCTTCACTGTCCCTAAACCCCAATGCTTTGAAAATTCGGCGCCATTGTCTTCGACTGTAGAGTGGAGCCCTTTACAGAACAATATCAAATGTTCAGCCGTTTCCTCCTCCTCTCCACACACACTACATACCGTGTCTGTGTCTTCGTATTTTGCTCGGTACGTCTTGGTCCGCAATACTCCCGTTCTAGCCTCGAAGAGCAGAGAACTACCCCGAGAATCATCGTAGATCTTTTCCCTTGCAATTTCCTGCTTAGAAGTTCGGTAGGTCGCCAGTGATGATTTCGTAAGCATTCCCATCTTCCACATGTCCCTCTCTGTTTCCTTCACCTTCTTCTTAACCGATGTTTTATTTTTGGCTTGGTATTCTGCTGTTGTCTAAATACTTACTTGGCAATTTTCGAGTTCGTTTCCTCCATTTAGTATCGACATTCTTCATGTACAAATAACTGGAAACTTTCCTATCCCAACGCTCCTCTCCCATTTTTCTCAATCGCTCCTCAAGTTCTCTTGCAGCTAGCTTCCCTGCACTCAAACGATGTCCATCCCATGTCTCCCTGTACCCCCCTGATTTGGGGTATTCCCGTGTGCTCCCAAAGCAAGTCTACCTATGCCACGTTTTTTTTTTTAATTTCCAATCTTGCTTGAACTTCTGATTTCATGCACAAGACCGCATTGCCGAACGTCAAACCCGGGACCATGACTCCTTTCCAAATCCCTCTCACAACGTCATACCTATTGTAGGTCCACAGTGCCCTATTTTTCATTGCAGCTGCATTCCTGGTGCCCTTAGTCATTACGTATTTTTCGTGCTCCCTTAGGTACTCAGCCCCGTTATTTATCTATACGCCCAAGTATTTGTATTTATCCACTATTTCTAGCGTGACTTCCTGTATCTTATGCTCACTGCCTTTGCTATCATTAAAAATCATGATTGCCGATTTTTCCCTGCTGAACTTCAAATTTAACCTATCTCCCTTATTACCACAGATGTCTATCCCTGCAGATCTTCCTTGTTGTCGGCTATTAATACTATATCATCTGCATACATCTATGCTGGTAATGACTGTTCAATGTGTTTTCCTTGCTTGGCAAAAGAGAGACTGAATCTGAGTTGACTCCCCTCTAATTTAGCTTCTAGTCCCTGGATATACAGCATAAATAACTCAGGTGACAAGGGACATCCCGGTCGAAGCCCGCGTTGTATCTCTATAGGTTCAGATACCTGTTCTTCCCATTTGATAACTACCTTGTTACTTTTATGGATGTCCTTTAGAATATTAGTTATTCTATCTTCCACATCTAGTGCGTCCAGTATTCCCCACAAGTCTTCTTGAATCACGCTATCGTAAGCTCCCTTGATATCTTGAAATGCCAGCCACTGTGGCCTGTGTTCTTTTCCCGCTATTTCAATACACTGCATCAATGAAAACAGATTGTCCTTCAACCTCTTTCGTTTACGGAACCCATTTTGGGCAGGGTATGCGGGCCGCTGCGCCATCTGGCTGCTCGCAGCAGCTAGAGTGCGTGATAACGAACATGACCTGGACGCTCAGTGTCAGCACCTGAATATTATTGCACCGTGCTCACGACGGAAGTCGCATGAAGTATTTTTGGTTCAGTCGGGTACAGATCTGTGGGGACGGTGTTAGGGTGGCTAGAATAGCCACCCTAACGGTGTTTCGAGTTACGCCGTTCGTGGCGCTATGCAGGCCAATGCGCGCAACCAATGGGGAAGCATCGCTGCAACGCTACTGCATGCGCAGTGATTGGGCGGCGACGGCATTGCCTCAAGAAGGAGCACGAATGAACGAATCTAAATAAAAGAAAGCAAAAGTTTTGCCTGTGCTCTTAAAAAATACTTTCTGCAGAAAAATGAACAGGTACACTAACACACACCTTGTTGTAATCTCCACTTCGTTATGTATAGATTATATGTCTAACAAAATCATACTTGACATGGTATACGTACTTTTATGTATTTGATGTATTGTATACATACAATCCGTTGTTTTCATGGAACAATGCTGCAAGATACTGCAAATGACTTATCACAAATATGTTTCCTTCTTATATTTTGTTTCAATTTTTTATTTTCTTTTTTTTCTTGTATGATTGAAGTGTACTTATAAAATATCTGCTTTGTTAACACAATCTGTTCCTTTAAATGCATATTTATTTAGACCCCCTACTAGCCAGTGGCTATGGGTCTAACCAGTGTTGTGTATTTTCATGTAATAAGAGAACTTGAAATAAAATGAAAAAAAAAAATGAAATGAATCTGATAGACGCGCGATATCGGAACGGACAACGGCACCTTTACTTCTTACAATGTCGGTGCGAATGCGCGCTTCTCAAAGGGAGCCGTCGGTCCGCCTTAGTTCAGGGAGTGGTCGGGATGCAACGCTACTTAATGGGTAGCGCTGCTTGCGTCACACGCCGCCCCCCCCCCCCCCCCCTCTCTTCCAGAGATGCGATAGACGTGTTTCCCCGCTCCAATGCAATGCAACGCGCGACTTTCCCCTGACCAAAATTGCAGAAATGTTGGTCCCGACGTGCTCGCGCAAGATATCGTTACGTCCTCACGGCCGCGCCACTCATTGTCACCATTGCCGATGCAAAAGCGGCAATTTCGTGTATTTTGATACCCGAGATCAGGTATGCAGGCGTGCGCACCGGGGGGGGGGGGGGGGGGATGATGACATAGACAACCCTATATATTGGCATAATGGAGAGAGGGGACGCTGCGACGAACATCCCCCCCCCCCCCCCATGTCCCTATGGGAAACTGGAGCCTGACGTCCCGCAAGTGTTGATTTTAGCAGGTGCGCCTAGCAGGAATGGACTATTGCCAAAATAGAATATCTTGTCAGCTTTTGGCGAGTAACGCACGTTCTTCAAGTACTGTCTGTATACAGGAGATTTTTTACGACAGTAAACTCAGCTTTACAAATTGGTGTCATTACCCTATTCATCTAAATTCCTAATATTCAATGAAATGTTCAACATTTGAATATGGAGAAATGAAAATAAGGGCTTGACATAGAACATTTTATTTTGCAAAACTGGCTCACACTAGCAAAAAAAACTCCATTTGAGGAAGTAACATTTGAGAATTTAAATACAAGAGAGACAGCTACACAACGCACCAAGTTCTCACTGCTTTGTTATGTAAAGTAACAAACAAGTGTAAAAGAAATGCAGTGCTGTTGCTAGCAAAAAAAAATGACACGCAGAAAAATTTTTGAAAACAAACACACGCCATTGCACTCCAGTACTACCACAGAACATGCGACAAGACGATATGCAGAGATCCTAGCACTACGAGACACCACCGTGAGAAAGCTACAGCTCTTGCACCACCTGTTGGAAAAGTATGCACGATGCATAAATGATCTCGCATGAAAACAGCAATAAAAAAAGAGGAGTGTAATCTTTCATTAAAAAAAAAAAGATACTATTCACCAACTCTTCAGAACAGGTTGCCCAATGAAGTCCTTACACAAAAATGCTAAAAAATTCTGAAAAAAAAATGATAGGTATTGCGACACTTTGAAATCCACGTTCACAAGAATGACAAAGCACATTTCTTCAGCGTATGCTTACTACACTTGTTGGAACATGTAAGGCAAACAAAATTGACATGTGCACACAAACCAGCAGCCCAAAATTTTGTAAAAAAAGTTTTTAAAGATTTTACTTAGACAATGCCCACTTCCACTTTTTTTGGAAAGTAGGAGTTGCCAATCTATGCAAAACACATAGTTTAGAGAATAAAATTTTCTCAGAATAGTTGCTGGAATTCGGCTGGTTGAAATAGTTGTTTGTATTGGTTAAGCATTTGCCTCATGAGAATATTACTGAATATCACTTACATTCTCTTAAGTGTAAGAGCTGACGTTTGCCTTTGAAAGTACAGCTGAATTGCAATACCTTAACGAACATGGATACATTGAATTACCAGATATAAATAACAAAGCAAAAATTGTTGCACAGCTTTTACAACATAACAGACATGCATTAAAAATGAACAGAGAAGATAACTAAACTCAGTCATGTACAACTCTCTCTTACATGAAGTCATGCAGAGTTTTGACTGCACACATATACTATACCTTTGGCACACGGCTAGACAAGCAAAATATGAATATGTGCAGTGAGGGCGACACACTAACTACCGATACACAACCTACTTCAAGCGATGTAAAACAGTACCACTGATGAAATATTTTTAGCGGGATAAAAAAAATCACAGTTACATATGAAGGTTGTTGACAAAAAAAGTTGCAACTTTCATTAACCATAAAACGCTGCTCTTCCAAAAGCCGGGAACTCGCTTTAAATGCCAGAAGCGCACCCTGTCACAACACTTCGCTGGCCCCCAAATTTACATGACAGAAACACACATGGGAGGAAAGAACATATAGTAGAACCCTGTTTGTTCAAAGATGCAATGTAAGTAGAAATAGATTAGCTAACTCATTTATTGCAGGTGCAGTGTTTGAACGTGTTACCAGTGGTCCAAGCAAAGGAATACTAGGGCATGAAGAACTGCACCAATTCGAAGATATTGCTGCAAAATGAAAGTTGACATAAAATAGCTGCCACACTTTGATGTGTGAAATTAATGGGTCGAAACAAAGAGTCTCCTAAGGCGCTGCAACTATGCATCTACAAAGCAACACCATAAAAAACATCCAGACTTAGCAGGGTGCCAGGAACAATATGTACGAGGAAATGCCCGCTCTGAATAACAACAAAAATATGGCAATGGGGGTAACACAGTTGGACTTGGAGAAAACTAAAGCATGATAACACCCACAAGGAGCCTTGAAACAGTCTCGATAAATCAATATAAAATTGTGTAGAAGGCAAGAAAAAAAAACACGCAATAATCTCAAATGCCTCATACAGAATAAGCACATCACATAAGCAGGCATAAACATTACATTATGAAGAGTCAAAACCAAGCTGTAAAGAAGCTGGCCAGTCAAAAAGTGTTCAAACTAGCACACGCAGACAAGAGAAAGGACAAAAAAGGCTACAAAGAACTATTGCGACCAAGTGAACAGTTAAATGCCCGCTAGACTGTGAATGGAATATTGAACACTTGGCCATGCCGGTCTTCCAGCAGCACTTCCCAAATGGCAATCGAAACTCTGGGAACGGCTTCGCTATGCTCGGATGAGTTAGTCAGCAAAACAACAAAGGAACTTTTGTCTGGCCGATGATCGTAAGAATAAGCTTACACTAATGCTGATTTTTCGTTTTGCTGAAAATTTCAAATGGAGAGTATGTGTTTTACAAACGGGAAAGCTTTCTTGATCACTTTTCCCGAGCGCTAAATGCCATACAGCATTTGCGTGTACTCCATGTCTCTGCGTTGTGAACTAGAACAAGCAGACGTTACGCTCACAATCATGACTGCAAGTGTCATGGACAGATTAATTCACTTAAGCCACAAGCAACCGTTTCTCATGCTGGCTACAGATAGCAAAGTGACCATTTGGGCGAATCGAAGCATGGTGAACAACAGCACACCGCCATGACAAGGGAGCATAAGGACACACAAGGGACTCTGCATCCTTCTCATCCTTTTCGTCTCGTTGTTCTCCATGCCAAAAAGTTTAAGCATACAAACAGGACACAGCACAAAGTCTTGCCCTTTTTTTGCTCATCATTCTTGTCTTTATGTCACTACACTATTGTTATATCGTAGTTAGCTCAGCGGACTACCTGTGCCTAGACACTAAAAGAAAAATTTCCTGCATAAGTTTCCTTATTTTTCCGGCATCGTCAATTGTTAGACTCAGGGCTGGCATTCACTATTTTTTAACGGGTCAGCGGCCACTTGGCAAATATTTGGGAATTACTGGCTTGAAGTAATACTGCGAATACACCTGTCTGCGTAGCCCGCCTTGTGAGTGTTAGGCCAGTAAATATGAAACTTTGATTGTCCTAAAAGGCCACGAAGGAAAAACAAACGAAACTGTTGGAGGACTCGGATGAGTTGCACGAGTTGGAAACTAATCCAATGCTGCCTTCTTGGCAAACTCCGTCAGCGATGATGACTCCGTAGGCTCTGTAGGCACGGGCTCGGTAGTCGTAAGTCGGCTGAATTCGATTTCTTCCTGGCTTGTGGAATGATCTGGATCGAAACAGAAAAGTGAGGCATGCGCTTTTTCTTCAAACTTAGAGAAAACACAGTTTTGTGAACTAGGACACATGACCCACAGAATTGCCAAATTCAGAGGTAGTCTTACTACAGAAACAGCAGTACAATAATAGCCTAGTCGTCAAAAAAAAAGGAGAAAAATTAAATTCTGATGTTTTATATGCAAAAGCTTTCTGCTGAAAGTACGCGAGTTGATGATGTCCTTTTACTCTAATATTGTCAACATCTATCCAATATTCAATATCTGTCAGTATACAGTCGAACTCCACTACAACGAACGCCACTTCAACGAAATTTCAGCTACAACGAAAAAATCACGTTTCCCCGTCAGCAGTCCATAGGAGTCAATGCATAAACATTGTCGCCTCAACGAACGCTTTTTCTTTGATCACCTCGTTTCAACGAAATTTTACTATGCTATTTCAGGTTCAGGTACTTATTGCTATGCAGTAAACCCAGTCTTTAACATTTCGATGCATTTTCAGAGCCTGAAAAATGCGTCAACAAAGTTTAACACACAGGTTGGCACCACCAGAAATCGCTGCTATACCACCGCTATTCAGCAAGCAGGGGCGCCGCCATTGCTCGATAGCAATGGCAATGAGACTGCCTATTTTTGTTTTGCCACTGGCTTGCTTTTGAGCCACCGATGATCCGAAGCTGAAGCTAAGTCCCTCAGTTCATGATTTCCTTGCTGCAGATTTCCTTGCTGGCAGCTGCTTGGTGCAACCGCGGCACGATGCCTTTTCTGATTCCGATGCTTATCATTATGTTTGCGCTTGGCTAGCGTGGTAACTAATCAGAACGGCTGTTCGTCCGCATTATCAATGAAATCAGCTAGCCGCCATTGATGGATGATAAGAATGGTATAGAATAAGGCAAAAGTCGCCGCTCCACGATACCCTGCCTCCATCTCAGCGCTCTCGGATACTTTTGACGGCGGACAGCTGCTGGTCTTAATGTGTTAATGCAACTGTTTGGTTCGTTCACGAAAGCGGTTTTAAGCGTTGTTTCAGCGTGCTTTTCACTATGGCCTCGCTATGCATGGGCGAGAATCGCGACGTGACACTTCTGGGAAAGAGTAGGAAGCAGCGATTATTTTTTGCATTTTGAGAATAAACATTCTTTTGTTTGGTAGCTAAGATCAGCTATATTTTTTTCGATTTCACTACAATGAAATTCTCGCGTCAACGAAATTTTTTCCACGCCCCGTCAGTTTCGTTGTAGCGGGGTTCGACTGTATAGCCAAAGATTGTCAATATATTTTTACACATGGGTTTTCTCCTACGAGTATTTCTCTTGCTGATGCAACGCGAGACCACTAAATGGTATCATTTACAAAAAAAAGAGTATTTCAGCTTGGTTATGACCAGTTGAGCCATGTTTGCAGAGTATGTATTCGTATTCAAAGGAATCTGAAGACTTCACTCTTCAGGTGCCCTATAAATTTCTGCAGCTTTGACAGAACTTTGTCATGCACTCAGTATGAATGGGAATAATAAAAAAATTTGGCAGATACCATGCTTTGTAGGAACTGGTTTCATGTGAAGCAGATGGCGAGTTATTGTCTATGCTGCATTTTTTTTTTTTGCTTTGAGCCACGCACAAAAAGGTGAAACAACAAGTTATTGTAAGTGTAGTAATGCGCACATCTAAAGTTAGAACAAAGGCGTCAGTATTATTGATATGAAGTGGACTTTACGGTACAATGATGTGAATATTAGTTTCAATTAGCTCTGGGCACATCATAAGTTAGTTACAAAGGCCATGGTTGAAAATAGGACAGACACCTGTTCACGTAGTCCTCGATACACAAAAGGCATCTTTTGCTCCATGTACGAAGTCAATTGAGTGGAGGGTGGAGGTGCGTCCACTTGGTTTCACCATCGTTTCGTAGCCAAGCTGACCGCATCTTGGCAAAATGCGCTCGTTCAACCGCGACATCTATGCAGTTCCCTGCACTGTCTCAGTATGCTACACCTGCACACAGCTACACATAAGTGATGCTTGCTAAACGTGCTTAGTCATTTCTGTGAAATGAGCTTTCCAACGCGATAACGTTAAAAATGCTATATGAATATTTCATGTACTGGAAGGAGTCTGCTTAACACATGTCAGATTGCATAGAGGCAGGGTAGAATCACACCAGACATCAAAACCAATTCAAGCACAAAACCCTTCACATTTTAAAGGCTAGTACACACATCAGATTCTACGCTGCATGGAAGCAGTGTAGAATCACGCCAGACGTCATAACCAATTCAAGCAGGAAACCATTTCAAAGGCTAATATTCCATTTCAGCAGCATGTCCATTAAAGGGATTACAATGTCGCGAAAGTCTTGTGTATACTGAAGTACGACATTACGCCAGTAAATCTCTATCCAGGAAAGTAAAGCAACACATCCGGTAACTCAGGGGCAAGAAAACGAGGTAGAAACAAGCAACCAACAGAAAAATGCAAGAAGCTTACCGCAAAACCGACATTTAAAAGGGAAATGTACTCACCAGCGGGTGTTGGGTAATACTTGTGAGATGGTGCATAAAGAACGAGCAGCATGAAGACGTAAAGGTTCCACATGCCATAAACGCCCGTGAAAAAAGCGGACGTGAACTCCAGGTCAATGTCGTCATCCCACTTCCAGCGACCCTCGCTCACCTGAAATAGCAGTGGATGTATTGAGAAGCAATCACCCCCTAAATACAGGGACACGTCTAGCAACACAGATGTACGCTTGCAAATGCGTAAACGAGCATGCCTGTACGTCTTCATTAAGAACGAATGGATGCATGTTGCCAATATTCTAGACAAAAAGAAATGGTAGTGGTAATGGCAGGAGCCCTCACTTGACTGACAAAATCCGGGCAAATGAAGGAAAGCTTAGCTGCCTGTAACTGATCTTGGGAGTTTACTTTTGAATGGGTGATGCAGAATTATTATTACTGCATGAAAATTTTCAGTTGTTCTTTTTTGCATCACCTCAAAGGGCCCTCGTAGGCCTAGAGCATGAGTACACCTTGAAAAGGTAATTACCATATGTCATTCAAAGCTAGCTTTTAGTTCCTACCATACTCTGATGTCACAATGCAGTATGAACTTCCCGTCACATGGTTGTGCAAGATATCATGATGTTTCCATAGCTGCTCCACTCTCTCTCTGGCTCTGTTGGTGACGCACCCATGGCCATCTAGACTGTTTTGGTACGTAGCATCACTGCAACTACCTATGCTTGTGCGTAAAATCACCAGAATTGACCTTGTAGCCTGACGTCACAACAGTGTCCACGCCAGTAGGTGAGCCATACGAAAAGCGACTTTAATCTCAAAACAAAATATCTTATCAGCATCTACTCAGCTTCCCCACTAATTTAGAGCAATCTCTACATACTGGAGGGTTGTATGGGACAGTAATTTCACCTCTAAAAACTGGTGATCTGTTCCCCTTTAATTTCTGATGCTTTATGTGCCAAACATATAATATACAGTGGAATCACATCGATATAATTCTGCATAATTGATTTTTGGCCATATACATTATAAGTTTCATTCCAGGCCAAATTTTATTGTATTTCATGCACTTAAAATGAACACATTTTTGGCCAAAATTGAGTGATACGAACACGAAAGTGGATTTAGACCGATATATCTAGAAATTCTGTGGTTAATCTTTAGTACACGAGCCTAGACTGCCTTTAAAGAAGTCACGACTTGCATGTTGCAAGGCTGCCGATGCTGCAGCACGTCGATTTTGCAGTGAAAACATTGCTGTCATGTGATCTCATCACAAAAAGAACGAAGTACAGTCCAAATTGGCCAGCTACTTCAATATTGCACAAGAAAAAAGTGAACCACTGGAGGAGTATGCATATTTTCTTTTTTTTTTATAGCCTCAGTGGTTAATATCCTTTTCTGCAAAATACCCCTTATTTTCTGGTTCACATGAAAAACACATCAACAAGATTTCACTGTATTTATACGGAATGCCATAACAAAGAGTTCAATATAAATATTGATTGCCTAGGGTTCTTTTGACATGCCCCAAAACTAACTACGATGTGTACTTTCATTCTAATAATAATATCTGGGGGTTTAAGATCCCAAAACCACAATATTATTGTGAGAGACATTGTAGTCGAGAGATATGAAAATTTTGCCCACGTGGGGTTCTTTTAACTTGCACCTACACCTAAGTAATCGGGCCTCAAGCATTTTCACCTTCATTGAAAATAAGCAATTTCGTTCTCCTCTACTGAAACATGGCCACCGACACTAAAAGAACGACTTCATCAATGTCTGCACATACCTGTCCTATGATGTAGGCAATCACAGTGAGGGCTGCACAGATCTGTGTGGCCAGGAGCAGGAACTTGAACCTGTATATGATGCCCTGCAAAGAAGTTAGGTGCACGCTCACGCACGCATGGGAACCACAGTACTGCAAAGTTGCGCCACGTCTGGCAAAAACCAACCTCGTAGTACATCCGGCGTGCCTGACTCATGCTTGGTAGGGCACTCCTCTTGAAGCTAATGTTGCGAAGAACGCGATAAAGCAGGTACGAAAGGAAGATGAAGTATATCCCGGCTGAAACCCCGCCAGCAATGATGAATGCAAGCTGGGAGAATACTAAGTCAAGGTCCCACACAATCCTCGTCACAAGGGACACGGTTGCAAGAAACACATGAAAATAGCATTTTTGGTTTTCCTGTGCTCGCCATGTTAGCAACATTGAGTTTAAGTGTTAATACCATTTATTTATTGACTGTTAACATTGCTAGCAACACTGCAATCTGTTATTTTGAATTTCTTAATTCACAATTGAGTTAAGCTTTCAATTTCTGTTCAGTGGCATAGGACAACTGGGTTTGATACTCATGCAGAATAGCAAGAAATGAAGGGGTGCCCTTTTTGTTAAGCTGCTGAATTATACAAAAATGAATGAACTATGCCAGAGAAAATGTGCCATAGACAAGATTAACACAGAATCCTTGTGTTATCACAGGCATTACACAGCATGTGATGCCAAACGGAGCATATTTTTAGCACTTGTCCCAAGCACATCTCGCTTTAGTACCGTGTAACTTAGAAAACCAGCACCTCGTTAATCATTCTCAGTAGTGAAAAAAACGGAAATGAGACAATGGTGCTGTTGATCATCTAATGCCAACATTGAAGAGACCCCTGAAAAGATACATTAAATCAGTTTAGGCTCATAAATATTTTTCTTGAAACTCTACCATTGTTAGCTCACTTTTTCGACGTGGTCAGAAAACAGTGCTGATTGGCAGTCGAGGCTTCTGAGAACACACAGACCAAACGGTATAGTGCTGCATTGAGCCTGGAATTTACAATTAATAGTCAAAGTCGGCTAGAATCCTTCCCTGTTCCACACAGACCCTTATTTGGTAAAACGATTCCTGCGCCTATTCCCTTTGCCCGACTAATTCTTCTTGTACGCACTGTGACGCAAATGTGCACATGGGCGAGTTACGTACCACCGAGCTCGTAGATTGGTCCTTTGTCTTACTAAACTGTGCCTTGGCCTTGCAGTGATGCAGCTTTGGCCACGCAGTCCGCATTTTCATTTTCCTGTGATGTCCTCTCCAGTTTTGTAGAGCCTGACATTACCGGGAGAAGCAATATTGACGGAACGATTGGACACAACGAAAGCCTCCAAGATAAAGAGGCGTTTCCGCCAAGGAGAAGGTGCTCCTCGAGTGGTACTTCCTCTCTGCACTGCTATGACACGTGCTTAGATTGAGAATACCGTGCTTGGTCGTTGACTGCATGCCTATGATGTGTCAATGACGTCATGTCACGTTGACGAAGAGGGCAGAGTAATGACAAGCTACGCCCTCCTATAGCGGAGAAGGATGGCAAGGCCGCACAAAAATAAAAAAGCAGCTGACACGGATGTGCTAACTCCAGTAACTTTCTTATTATACCACGTATTCACAAAATCTTTGCGGCAGCATGCTCACGTAGCAAAAAAGCGCATATTTCTTTTAATACGAACTTTTGGACCTTGGGGTTGTTCACTGGCCCTTTAAAACTGAGAACTGAAATATCCCCGGCAAATCAAAACATTCGCAAAGGATACAGCAAGGTTGCTCCCAATGCGAGTTGCCCAGATGCTGTAGAATGGGTTTTTCAGCTGAATCCCTCTGAAAGATGAGAAAGGTTAGTACTTCACACACATTAACAGGTGCCCTACAGTGTCGTCACCCACCTTTCGCACAGGTCAAATATAAAGAGGCAGACACAGCCTGTTATCACAGCACTAAGGTGCTTCCAGTATGACCGTAACCGGTTGCGTTCGACATCATCCTGCAAAAAAAAAAAAGACATTACGTCCAGTACAACTGCAAAGAACGAGCACGCATACTCTAATAAGCGATGCCACAAAAAATCTGCCCGTCGCCAACTGAAACACACGGCCCTGCATTTCTTATTTTAGGATGCCATGCACGTGAAATGAATCCCTAAAAACTAGGCCACGATACAAAGTAGTGAACGTCGGGCATACAACAGTAGATTCCTTTATTAGAGACACTGATGTAACAGACTACCGAGTATAAGAGACACTAGTGCACTTACACTGAAATAGGTGCTGATAAGAAAATGGATTCGGAAACAACTTTAAAGCGCCAAGACAAGGACTTTCTCCAGATTAAATATTCTATGAAATTCACTGCCCATGCCATTGTTCGAGTTTTCTTTGTCTACGCCGTTTATAACCAGGCCACATCTCATGCAGTAAATACCCACAAGGCCAAATCCAAGTTCTTCTCAAGCCTTAGCAAGCGCGGCTTCGATGTTACTATTTAAGCTTACTTATTCTTGCTGTTTAATCCTAGTTATGTCATATAACTTCAAAGCACCATATTGGAATGCTCTGAACAAACCAGTGAAACAATGCTGAAGAAATACTATCAATAAAGTTGTCAAATGGAAACAGAAAAGTAGCCTTTGTGGCCAAACAACTCATTAGTCTTGAAGTTATGCGTGTAGACATACAATCTACAATTGAAATGCATAACCTACCCTGCGGCCCTCCTTCAAGGTGAGCATGAAAAGCAAACATGGAAAGCATTGAAAAACATATATTTGCAAGAAACGCAGGACATAGATCACACACAGACATGCACGCGTTATCTCACATTGCAGCAAAACTCTGCAGCAGTGTAAAAAAAAACAAAGGCAACATACAATTGCATCAGGCAGAAATGAGTGATTAGCATAACATGTTCACTGTGGTGCGGCTCACCGGTGGGTCACAGGCTGTGCTCTTCCTGTAAGGCCACAATGTTACAACCACGCATCTGCTTGCTGATGTGATAACTTCATCAAACATAAACGCAGAGGTATGATTCTTCTTTAAGGAGACTATAAATACTTAAAAGAATTTATTTTCTGGTTTTCAATGGCGTGACCCTCTGGTTACCTGCTGGTGGGTCATGATGCACCTGCAAGATATGCTGAGTGGCCCACAGGTGGGTCACTCCCCACTTAAAACGAGACCTCAAGAAAGCTTGCCGCTGCAAATATGTTAATTTATTGCCGTATTCTCAAGTATTCTACACCACAGGTGTCGCCAATTAAGAACAGTGTGGTGAGGCAACGATGAGGCAATGACTCATCATTTCTAGGAGCATAAATAAAATACAACTCCTGACCAACCTCAATGAGCATCTGGTTGCAAAAAGAGGGAAAACAACACAAAATTTGATGGAACACAAGACGAAGGAAGGACTACGTGAGCACGGTTGTCTTTGTCTTGCATTCGATTTCACACTTTTTACGCTCCTTTTTTCAACCACGAATCGACTAGCACAAGCATCAACCCTAGGGAGTATCTGCCACCATCAACCACAGTGAATATCTGCCACCCTTAGCAACTGAACACCAGAGTGGTCAGTTGCAAATGCACACGAACTGCACACATGCGATAAATGCAAGCGAACTGTACACATGCCACACAGCATGCATCATGCCAATCAAAGGTTGTGTCATACACAAACAAAGGAATCAGTAATATTATTTTAAAAACAATGTTCATAGGTTAAGAAGAAATAATAGGTTGAATTGCTCAAACAGAACTATCACATTAAAGAGGCTTTTCATAATTCTCTGAATTGAAATGAGTTACTATAATGGAATAGTCTCACTATTAGTGCATGACGCCTCACGACACATTGCACAAAAATTTTTCAAATCCATGAAGTACGAGCAGAACTGCAGGCATTTGTTACAAATTTAAAGCCCCTTTCCTTTTGTGCCAGTGTGTGTGCTGAAAGCTACACAGGGGGTGGGGGTTGACAAGAGGGCAAGATATACACATCCCTTCGTCAGCACGCATCATCACCTTGAGCCCTTTTGTTTTTCTTTGAACGTGCGATGTACTTTAGGTGTGACAATGGGCACACGCAGGCATGCTTCGGCATCTTGCCGCAGCCACTTCAACTATGCAAGAGATGTGTGCCAACCTGTGTGGACTTGGGTATATGATGTAGTCATTCGGGCATATGTTATCACCTTTAGAGTGAAGAGAGAGTGCTTTCTAGCTGACTGAGAATTAATTGTAAATTCCAGGCCATGTGCTGTGCTCAATGTTTGGTTCTGGTGTCTTCGGTAACCTCAACTACCAATCGGTATTGAATGCCGACCATTCTCAAAAAAATGTGGCAGGACCCCTTCAGAGAGAACCCTAAGCAGCAGTCTTACATGAGCACCTCATTCCGCTTATGTGAATGTACTGCCACAGAAAGTTTGATGCACTAACAACCAAATGAGTCCAACCAACTACTAGGCCAACAAAAAAACAGAGGACATAAATTTTTGTCATTGACCATAGTGTGGTAATTCTGACAAGTTAAAATGAATGAAGTGGAGAAAACAATCCCCTTTCCGTTCGTAGTTGGGATAAAAGTAGACGGGGAAGCTCAATTCCACCATAGCTCAATTAGTAGGGCATTGAACGCGTAATCCAAAGGCAGTTGGTTTGGGTCCCACTGAGAGAAAGAGTGAATTTACGTCCACTTTAACTCAATTCAATTTATGTCCTGTCCTAATTGCTAAACTACAATTAAAGACCACAGTTAATGTCTGGTGTGCCTTGATTGATGTCACTGTCTGTAGGATTTACCGGGGAGTGAAAAAAAGAACAAACGAACACTTCAACAAAATTTTTCTCCTGTTGATACCTTCACAAAGAGTCATAAAATGCTATAGACTTTGTCTATGGTGGCATGCTTGAAAACCCAGACAAGCATGCGAGTGAAAAGCAAAATGTAAAAGGCAAGGAAAATGTAAAAGGCTGCAGTGAACTGTCGTACAGAGAATGAATGGACGGCCCACTCACCATGAGGTGCTCTCCACAGAAAATGAGCCAGAAGCTGAGCAGCGTTGCATAGAATATCCCCTGTCTGATGTCACTCAAGAGCAACATGAAAGGCAGCTTGAACCAAAGAGTGAGAAACTCCAGGGGCACTGTAACGAGAGTGAGAAAAGCATTTGTTAATCTATGCAGTCACGTGAATTAGCAGTACGGCCTGTGGACACGCTTACTCTTTTCGGCAAATATGTCTCCACTGTGAATACTTTAGCACCACGCGTGATGCATATGCGACATCTGTTGCATAGTAAATGACAATTGTCACATGTGACCTCCACTTCAATCTTCCAATAAGAAAGCTACCTGTTTCTGGGCTAATAAATCTGTCAATGCAGGCTCTTGTAGGAGCTCAAGCTAAAGATCTTTTCCAAATAATTACTGTATTTGTATGATTCTAACATGCGCTTTTTTTCCTTCAATATGGCCTTCTAATTTCGTGTGAATATTATAACTGGGCTCAAAAATGATGCTACTGGCCAGTGGCGTAGCCAAAGGGTTCACACCATGCCTGTGTACCAACCAAAAATTTTTTCGGTGCAGCACCTAGAGCACAAAATAGTGGTCACCCACATCTGTCTGCCTGGCACCCATTGTAAATCGAAAAGATGCTTCTGCCCCTTCCCCAAACGAAAAATTGCTGCCTGTGCCCCTGCTACTAGAAATCAAGTAATCGTTTTCATTTTTTCTAGCATGAAATTACGTGCACATTACAGTCCAGGGTGTACTAGAATTGGGCAAATACGATGTACTAGGTCCGTATGCATTCACGAGTAAATAAAGATTGTTTGACTGACAGATTCATTCATTCATTCATTCAGTGGGCGTTTTTTTTTTTTTCAGCAGTGATTCAGGGTACTTACAGTTGAGTAGTGTCAAAGCGATTCCCAGGGAAAGCAGCAATCTGAAGAATACAAAACTAATCAAAATCTGTCGGCATGTGCTTTGTCACCCTGACGGCATAATACAATGGGTTTAAAAGCCTGAGACTTGCCCTTCAATGAGGTGCGGTGGGCGTGCCAGCATCCTGATTCTCCGCCAGAACCAGATGAGCGTAGACAGCACAATGGGAAAGAAGAACGTTTTGAGCGAGACCCACACCTTGGTGAAGCCGCCATTTTGATGGATAAGCTGTAATATACCAACAGAGTTTGCGCAGAATTAGAAGAGTTTAAGCCCTTAAGGGGAGATGCTACTCGAAAAAAGATTTTCTTTAATAAGAGTCTGAATTTAACACAAATTGGCATGCTAATAGAGTTTTTTTTTCCTCTTTTCAAATATGTCATTTATTTTGATGTAGATTGCTTGGTTTTCTTTCTGCAGGTCAGATACTGCAAAATTATGGCCATTGTTATGCAACAATTCTGACCTATAAAAATTTGAGATAAAGCATGCAGATATAGCTGACTATGATCCTTTGGAACTGTAGAGTGCAAAAAACTATATAAATTTTGTGTGTAAAAAGGTGAAATACAATAATAAAATAGAAAAATTTACTATGGCTCTAGTTGCCAAGGGCTTTCAATGTTATGTAATTTTTGAAAAACATAATCAAGCAGCACTGACAATCTGAATAGATACTTGCACTCTATGGGCCTTCATCATGCTATGTGCAAAATTTCATAGAGGTATGACAATTCTAAGTATACGAACTAGCGTGTATAAGAAGCACAGATCACACAAAACTGCAAAAGGAGAAAAATGCATTTGAAAGTTTGAAACCTTTTTTTTTTATCACAGAGTTGTTAGAAATGCATATTCTTTTGGCCATAATGTTCAACAGAACTTTGAAAAGCACTGCAAGTTACTAGAACTGTCCTGCAGCATAGGTTGTGCCCTCACGGTCATTGCGAGCACTCTCTTCTAGCCGTGCCCTTTTCACTCCACGACGACGGTGGGCCCTTGCTTCTGCTGTCAGACGGTCGGACATTCTCTTGATGCGCCTTGCATCGCGGGAATCACTGAAAGTAACTAGATCTCTAGATGGCAGTATGTTGAGCTCTTCCAGGATGTGCTCAAAAGTAGCATGACCCTTGTTGAACCACAGGATTGCCATAGCTGCGGCAGTCTCGACAACCGTTCAAGAGACAAACTTAGTCTTGGGGCAAAGTAGCCAAATTTTGCTGTTCAGGGATTCCGATGCGTTCTGGGTTTTCCCTTTGATGCATCGAGCAAGGAGCTTCCCATCCGTTAGCCGCTTATAAATGGGCAAAACAGCCAATCCCTGTGCTTTTGTCAGGAGAGGTGTGTGGCAAGGTGCAGGTTCACCAAGTGCTTCAGCGCGTTGATGTTTGCACCACGACTCTGTTCCTGCCGGGCAAAACTTGTGGCTGCCAGCATTGTCAGTAGAGCATGAGTGGAAGTACGAAGCCCATACTGCAGTGTACATATCCCGTACACTCCCCCTGTTGCTTGTTATGACAATCTGATAGTATGTTTGGAGCTTCTGAATGGCTGGCTCTTTCATTTTCTGCCCTCGTGGTAATGGCACATGCAACTTCCATAGCGCGGTGCCAAGTCTCTTGGCCACATGATTAGTGCAGTCTTCTTTTTCTATATTGACAGCACCATAGACTTTTGACTCTGCAACTGCACTATATGCTTTGCTGTCACCGTCACTCAAGAATGTCATGAAATGCAGTGGGGTGTCATAAGTCAATGTTCTCTGCCAAATGCGCATTGCAGCCTCCGTTTCCATGGCATGGGAGGAACAGTCTGCATTTTTTTCACAGACTGGGCCATGGAATGCCTGCCACACTTCCTCGTCTGGGCCCATATCCTTATGATTACTGCATGTCAGGCAGTAATTTGATATGACCTCGAAGTCTAAGCAGAGGCCAGTATCTAAGGAGATAACTGCGCCAATCCCGTTGTGGCTTTTGTGGCCCCTCTTCTGCCAAGTGCCGTCGAACATAACAGCCACATCAGTTTCGCCTGCTACTTCTTTCATCAACTCTCTGGATCGGCGCAAGTTTTCACTCACAGCTGCCATGGCAGCGGTGTGCACCTTCTTTGCTATCGAAAAAAATCCTCGGTGGTGCATTGGCTTTGGGAGTCCAATAATGGAGCAAAATCTCGACAATTGCTCATGCCCAATGCCGACAGCGCGTGCAGCCACCACCGCCTTCACATTTACAGCGAAAATATCTCGGGAGCCCCCACTGTCGTACCGTTGGCTCACTCGGCTGCTGCCGTCCGCCGTAACACGCAGTGACGTATAGGAGCACGAAAGAACAGTCGCTGAGCATTCGCTGTTTTCGCAATGAAGTTCGAGGAGCGACAAAAGTCCCTTGCGCTTTTCTGCCGGCTCCCAAACGGCAAGTTTTTCAATACCGCAAGCAGGGCATGCCGCACCTGCCACAAGTGCCGTCAGCAAGAGGGTGTCGCACAAAACTGTCGTTGCACAAACCTCATCGCGCTGTCTTTTGTCTTTTTCGAAGAAGCCGAGCTTCTTTTCCGAAGCACTGACGAACGAAAGCGCAGCGTCAATCCCTTCATCGCAGCCACTGTCGCTCGCGCACTCGTCGATGCCACCGTCAGGCCTAGCACACGTAGGCGCGTTCTCGTTCGTCGCCGTGATTCGGGGCGCTTTACGCCGCCTTCCCTTGAACTTGTGCTTCGTTCGAAACTTCTGCGGTCTCACGTTGCACTTTTTTGGGCTTGTCATCGCGGAAATATGCGTAGACGCGCAGAAAAGCAGACGGACCAAATGCCGATGGCCGCCACCAACACAGCTGACAATGACTCGGTAGCCAATGGCGATGCGGCTTAGGGTGCCGCGCGTTTCAAACCGCTCAAACCACGTGATAAAAAGGCCTTGTTTTTTATTTTATTTTTTGCCCACGTACGAAACTGGCGGTCGTCGGAGCTGTAAGAAGAAGGCCGGACGCAACTTTCCCAACCGATCACGATGGCGGGCGGCACTGCGATGGGGAGCAGCGCGCAGTCAAAGATGGCCAATATCGGCGCAAATTCACGAAATTTTGAGCCACCGCGTTGCCTTCATACACATTTTTTTGCATTTTGTGGTTCCAACTTAGTTTTGAAATTTTCACAGATGAAAGAAGAAGGTTTGAAGATAACAATGCAATAAAAATCAGAAATACGAGAAATTTCGCTAAAAACGCGATTTTTCGACTCGCATCTCCCCTTAAAACTTGCTGCAGTATCATAACACTGTCATAGCGGCAGCACATTTCTGTGTTCAAATGTCCGAAACGAACATGCACTTTCCTCCAAAACCTCCAATCCAATGAAATCTTATTTTGGTAATAGAACGTCAAGATCTAAGGATAAAAAGTGCTTGTACGACTTTGCATAAACTTGGAGGCCTCTCAGAATAGTGGATAGAAGTGGTTGGTGGCATGAATTCGTACTTCCATGAACAGCAAACAAGCAACACACTGGTTAAAGGACTTACACTGATGGTGCTGCGTGGTGTGACTGCGTAGAAGGATGTCAGAGACTTTTCTCGCTAAGTGACCCTAGAATTTACATAAATAATGGCTTTCTTTTCCTGATGTTGCTTACAGAACATTATTACAAGAAGTAGGGTGCACAACTTGCATGCTGAAGTAAATTGGATTTAAGGGCCCTATACAACACAGACGTCGAAATGTAGTTGTGGTGTTGCAGATGTGCACGAATCTTGAACAAACATGTAGCCACGAGAATTCTTCGAAATGGAGTCGCGCTAACGGAGCTACGTGTGTTTGACAATTTAAATGTGGCCCTCATTCATTTTGCTCTTTCCTTTGCCATACTCCATTTGCTGGCTCATCTCTCCTCCTGGCCAATTATTCTGCCTTGTCATGAGAGCAGGACAAGCAGGGAGCATATGCAGCTGCAGGCACACGAACTGATCATTTTTTGCTACTGACGTGACCAGACTTTACTGCTGACGTCACGATCAGCTGTGATGGTACCGAAAGACTTGGGGAGGAGTACAGGATTGTTTCTGTTTATTTAGTTACTTGCCTACAGCACTTAGAGCTGCCGTGTTTGGCACTGCTGGTTATGACAGCACTCTGAACTCGAACGAACGTACTCAAAACATATTACAAAAAAAAAAACAACTGAAGCAGTTAAGGGTCTCTTCAAATTCTGTTTGATTTGTTAGGCAAGGGGCTCCTCACGTCCGAAGGGGCTCTTCGAATCACACAAGTCTGACTAGCGATTCTGGCTCACACTGTTTTAACAGTATTTTTTTCTTATTGCCTGTATGTACAGAGCCAAGTACAGAGTAGAAAAATTTGTTGAAGATGGTGACATCACTCACCACGAGCCAGACATCTCTGACTTCCCTGAGCTCTTTGTTGCCCGGACTCTCTTCGTGTATTGGCAGTCGCAGATTCAAGAGATAATAGTCATGGTGGAGGCTCCCCAGCTCGAAGAGGCTTAGAATGTCACAGTTGTATGCATGGCCATCAGAAATCTGTCGTAAAGAAGCAAAGAATGCGAAATAATAATTGAGGAAATTTCGTTAAGCAAAGCTGGCGACACACAAGCCCAGTGCTTCCTGGAAGTTACAAAAAGCGGCTGAGAGCAAAATTTTTAAACACCCTTCATGGGGAACTCTTCAGGCTGTTTCACAGGCACAAAATGCAGCAATTTTCAGGCTGTGAATATGCTTACAGCGAAAAAATAGATGACCTCTGTTGCCACAACAGTCAGCGGCAAGAAAGATCAAAACATCACTCTCAATAAACTCATTCACTGTAATAAATACAAAAAGAGAAAGAAGCAACAGTTTGGGGACAGTAAGCACGTATGAAATAAAAATTTTTAACTTTTTCAGAGTATGCACCCAACTTTATCCAAGAAAAAAAAACAAAAAACCCCAAAAAGACATTAACACATTTGAGGTATATCTGTCCTTGAAAGCTATTATTGTCATGACCACATTCTTAGTGATCAAGAAACTACACTGTGCATGAAACATTTGATAGAAAAATTGCACAATGAATATATTGTTGCTTGGGAACAAGAAAGAAGCAAGCTTTACTAAAAAACATTGCAATAAAGAGCCCTCGTGTAAGGAGTCAACACTACATAAACAGTGCTGTGTTAGGAACTGAGGGCAGTTTTAGCCCATGATTTATAAGAACATTGCAACACTTTTTGTAACATATTTATGAAACATTGCAGATTACACTCAAACCTCATTATAACAAAATCACATCTGCCAGGATAATACTTCGTTATATCCGAAAATTCGTTATAAATGTTTATTCTTAGCACTGTCGTACGTATGACAAGGCTATTTTTCACTTATTTCACTGCAATTGATAATTCTTTATATCCAGGTTCGTTATATCGAGGTTTGAGAGTATTAGTACCACAGATGACCATGGGAGACCGCCGCCACCATGCATTTATAGCAAATTTTTAGTTTGAAATCGATGCTTAACAGGTTCGAAAAATTTCTGGGTCAGGAGATTTGTGAAGCCACAGCATACGACACTTCGAAGTATGCTGCAAAAAAAACTTTAATGTCTAAATAATCGTGCGGCCATATGTAAGATGACTAATCTTCTATTGCACAATCTTACTTACAACACGAGGTAAACATCAACACGAGAAGAAAAAGGGCACCAACACATACCGTATTTGCACGAGTGCAGGTCGACCCTATTTGCCTTAATTTGAAAGACAAAGCTGGCAGGTCGATCGTGAATAGAAAATTAGCAACAGTTGAAAAGTCTTTTTAAGAATGGCCCGCACGTATTCCCAATAAGCTAACTCTTGTGCACAACTTTCAAGCACTGCTGTGAAGCCACCTTGGCAAACCGAAATTAGATTTTGTTTTCTTAGAGGACATCGTAAATGTGTTTTTTTAAAATGAAATGTGTTCGTGCTCACCCCCAACCCCCCTTTTTTTGCGATAAGATTTTAGGACGGTTGACCTACATTCGAGTCGACTTGCAATGTGTAAGGAAGGTATGTCTTCATCCACGAAGACTGGGAAACGTACCTTAGTGCTGTTAACGTCGCAATGCAAATAGCGTTCCTCAACAGACTTTGCCACAAGCGTCCATTTGTCTGGAGGGTCATGCTTATTCCTGTAGCCAAGCTTGACCTCAAGGCTAAGTAGTGGGCTTGCAACTTTTTTTTTTTTTTAGCGTGGGTGAGAACACAGAAAGAAAAGGCAGAGAAAAGGTATTGTTAGCATTGGAACGAGCCACGTCTACAAACTACAGTATTTTCATGCTCAGAGGGCAAAATGTGCCTATAAATATCATTACAGAGTAGAATGATTAAAAGTAATTGTAACAAACTTTGTAAATTACTGCAAAGAAAAATACATTGCAGGCACATTAGCATCGGGCCGTCGCACTCATACTGGAAACACCCAAAGCATACTTCAAGTACTTTCACTTTGGCAAAAATCGTATTTTGTCTCAGTGCCTATAGATACATAAGGGCATGCAGACTCTTAGACATGCAGATTTTATTGTTTTGAGGTTTTTGCAGAAGAGCAAAAACTGCAAATTAATCATATGTACTTGTACTATGCCCCTCGAGTTGACTGTCGAAATGCCCGTACACAGAATCCTTAGGCTCCAAGACATCAAATACACTCAAATCTCGATATAACCAAATATCGGTTATAACTAAGTAAATGAATAATAGTCTAGCAAGAGATATAGGTAGTGTTCGGAATAAACATTTGTAATGAATTTTCTTATGTAACAAACTTACTTTCGTGTAAGGTGCAACTTTGTTATAATGAGGTTTGAGTGTATGTGTTCACTTGTCACATTTCCTGTTGGTGCATGCTCCCTAGACTAATAAGGCAACTCTAAACAAGCCATACAAAACTGGCTGAATGCAGTAGTTTGGGGATGAGGTAAACATGTACTAAAATAATACTTGCACAAATAGCAAGAAATATCTTTTTGTGATTTGTGCATGCACCACACAAGGCAACTGTTCTACACCTTTTTCTGTTTGAGGGACGGTACGAACAAAATATCTGCAAAGATACTTGAATAATGGATCACCAAGTAACCTTAAAGGGATACTGACCAGAATTTTCACTTTCAACATGTTCAGCCTAATGAAAAGATTGGGTGCTGAAATGAGTGGACATCTTCTTTTCAGGCAGAGACTAATGCAATATAATAAACTTCACAAGTTTTCCCAAACAGTCACTACACAGACTTAAGGAGCCATTTGGTGACATTTGACACCACAGAAAATAGGTGTGCCAACCTTGCCAGCCATTGCCTGCTTCTCTCACTAAGGTTCCTAGAAATAGCACAGACTTGGCTGTGAGCAATGCAGACTGCAATACTGACATGTTGCAACACCAGAGGCAATTTTCTCAAAACTCGGTCACTGTTGAAAAAACAGTGAACTTACCCATTGGGTGTGAGTCACTATGAATAATGTCCAGTTGAAGGATGCCTATAAGGTTTTGCATCCACCGTGAATAGTCAAGATCCATATCCGATCTCGGGCTTGGAGCTTGGAACGCAAAGACAATGTGGTTGGCTGTTAGGTTGGGGTCCAGCCTAGACGTGTCTGAGAGTTCGTGGATGACATTGCAGTTTGTGGGCTTGCCACCAGGCCCACGCGGTACATGCCAGGTGTCGTCAAATGTGCCCATGGGAAGCAATGTATCTCTCTTGCATATCGTTGCGAGAATCTGGTCGGCATTGGATGGCGCTGGAGCTGCACGAATTGTTGTGGAACCACGCAATGCAATATCGTTAAAGAGTCACTAAAGAGGAACACAAGTTTTCTTTGCGTTAGTAAATTACTCTTTCACAGTGCCAAAAACACCATGCTTGTGGCGAGAAGGCACTTTTTACGTGAGAAAACACACGAAAAAAAGGAAGTGGCAATACTGTCGTGATGGTTCTCCTACCAGTCATCATAACATCATAGATCTTGACAGCATCCACTATCGTCTATGTAGTTCTTAACCAGTAAAAATAAATTAGGTTGCCTTTTTGGAGCCAAAGACTTAACACACCTAGTTTCAGGAATACTTGTTGCGCAAATGTTGCTAAAGTACAACAAAAAAAACTTATGATATTCATGAAAAAGATATTATGTGGAAACCTGGAAAGTGAGACTTTTGGCATTGATTTCATCATATATTAGTAAACCCATAGTCAACAAATCAACAACACTAAAGTTTGCAGAGTAATTTATCAGTCCAGACTACTATAAAGTCCTAAGCAAGAACCCCCCCCCCACCCCCACAACAGGGCACACCAGTAGTGTGTGTTGCTCATGCGCAAGAAAAAGTTCTACGAATGCTGGGTCACTGGCCATCCACCTCATGGTGTCAGTCAGGAGTGTACGACCACTGGCGCACTCTAGTGTGCATCCGCCTTTAAAAGGGCCTTGCAATGTTTTTTCTTCTGCCTTCTGCAGCACTGCAGTTTGTGTAGTAACGATACTGAGACGAATACAAAAAGAATGATTGAAATTGGTACACCGTAATGGAAGTTATTAACCTTCAAACTTCAAAACCCCATCAGGCGACAAGAAAAAATGTCCCCTCTCGCCTTCCACTCTACCACCGACGTCAAAGGCCGTTTCTAATAATCCCGCGCCTCTTACATACACATACCGGACGACCTGCTTCGTGGTAACCAATGTGCAGCGTTCCTGGCGTCATTTTGCAAATGTTTTCACACTTTCATATTTCAAAACAGAAATCCTTTTGCTCACGAAGAAGTATAGAGGGTGCTTTTATCATTTTTAGCACACAACAGTGTGGCCATCTGGAACCATATGAATATTATGAGAGACCTGTCGCGCCGAACCAATCAAAAGGCACAGTCTATGTTGTTACTCCCTCAGGGGGAAGCGTCACTTTTGATCACAAAAATAGCCGCCATGTGTCACTCTAGTCTGAAAATATTGTGGTTTCTCCATAGAAATAATTTGATAACATCTTTGTTTTTGGCGTAGCTACTCTTGTAACAATATCAGTGCATTCCACACTTACGAGAAGAAATGATTAAAACAACACGCTTAACTTGTGTCTAGTAGAGAAAAGGCTGCGGGCTTCTAAATTTGTATCCAGCTATAGCACACACTGAAGAAAGGGTGCGTAAAGAGTGCGCCACAATGATAATTGTCATCTGGCTTGCTTGCATTTCCTTTGTTTCAAAGCCGGCGCTCGTCACTTTCCTATAAAGAATGTGTTACAGGTAACACGTGTGCCGTTCATGGCTACTAACTACTGGACGCTTGGTGACAGTGCAAGGAAAGGCTTCAGGAACTGGTAATTACTATTGTTGTGGTACAAAATGACAACCTCTTTATTTATTTGCTCTATTTTTTTTAGTGTAGTTTGCATTGTACTGAATTGAGTTGGTCTGCCAAAAACAAATTCTGTATCATTCTCCACCGAGTATATGGGGCCTTTGGTTTGTTTTCACCAATGTTTATGGCCCTTACAAAAATGTATAGGCAGCGTCCAAAGGTTGAGGTATAGTACGAAATGTAGACTCTTACAGCTCCCATCCCATGCAATGAACACAACAAAGACTTCAGGTTCTGTGCGATTTTTTCCGGAAGGCACTGTCATCGAGTAGACGCAAGATTGAAGCGAGATCAGGATGTCTGAGAACATGCACCAGAAGGCGCATTTTCGAAAACAATTCATGCCGAGTGTGAAGGTGAAACCATCTCTGAAATAATCAGGAAGGGATTAAATATTTTATATGTTTATAAGCCTGCTTGGGAAATATAAATAGGCCTGAAGCAAAAGAAGGCTGAAAAATTACTGACTGAAGAAATATTGTAGAGAACTGCAGGCTGAAACAATGATTTCACAGAAACACACTCCAGCATAACACCCTTCCATCCATCCAGGTTGGAACAACATTTGTCCATTTCTCATCCCAAAAGGCAGACACTCCTTTCTCCCAAATTTGTCGCGAAGTGCCCAGGGGTTTATATGCACTTTAATAGACAATTTGGCTGGGCCAGTTGGTAATGTGATCCATCGTTTTATTTGGCTTGTACACTGGGTTTACAGACCCTCCACAACACAACCTTGTCACTTTCTACGGGATATGCACTTCCAAAATAGTTTTACACCAATCCTCCCTCTTTCCTCTTGGACAGGCGCTTCCTCTTTACTCCCCTTCGAATCCCTCCAAAAGCGAAATCCTGGGTAAACACCTGCAACTGCTTAGGGACCGGCGTGTGCATTTCAGCGCCAAGTGAAACGCACATCGGCCTGAACGGATGACGGGGAAGGAGGCCGAGGCGCCAGAAAGAGGCGTCATCAACTGCAGTGCCCAGCCCCACACGCGGAATCGTCTTCCCCCCTCCTCGAAACCACACACGACGAAAGGATCGGGTACAGGTAGTAGTACAGCGGCGGCTTTCTTTGAAGAGCCATTGACGACGCCAAGAGTGGAGAGGGCCAATAGACAGAGACGAAAGGAGAGGGGCGGTCTCCCTTTCTTCCACGCTACTCGCGCGCATGTGTTCACGCTTTTCCGCGCGAATGCATTCCGCATTCGCATTCCGCAGCTGAAATTCGGTGCTTTAATTATTGCTCCCAGGACCCAGTTAAGATGGAGTTAAGAAGAAATCCACAATGATTTAGCTATCGTAGCAACGGAGCTGTCATTCTACGCAAGTGAGCTTGGTCCATCGCTCAAAAGGACCTGTCACTACGTCTACGCAAACAAGACAAGTGTTCACATTTCCGCGCATCTACTATGCCCAACAGTTAGCAAACCAGCACACCATGGAGGAAGGAAGCAAGTGCAGCACACGAAAAATGACAGTTCGTATGGAGAACTGTTTGTTGTTTTTGGCTGCCCATGGAGCGATGACCGAGTTCCTTAAGTTACCGAGCTATGCGCCTCGAAACTGTTAGTCGGCGGTGTTAAACCAGGAGCGCAGCTACGGCTTGCACTTCAATGCGTGTAGGACACTGCAAGAGGTTGCCGGAGGGGCAGAAAAAGATTAAATTATCGCGGCGCACGGTAATCATTCCATCACGTTCGACGTCGGCGAGGGTCGAGACAACGTACTACGCTCGGTGCGTTCGTTGGAAAGTCCTTACCGATCAGGCCGCCGATGAGGAAGCAGATCACCTGAAGTGTAAGCACCACCGCCACTATGCAGGCAAGCTTGCGACCGCTTAGGTTCTCGAGAATGCTCCCAGCCATTTTGACGTACTGTACCACAGGACCACTGCGCGGGCGAGCACGGACGCCGGAGACAAGGCCGCGCGATCACGCACAGACACGCACACACACTTGACACACCCGCCAGAAGACAAGTGTCGCCATACATTGGCAGGTACTCGAACTATACATAGCCTCTGAGATAAATGTTTTTTTTTACTTTTAATCAACAAGACAAAATATGTAACACGTTACAAAATATTCAAAATACAAATAAAACTACATGTTCTTAAAAAAAGCATTTTCGTGTTAGATAAAAGCTGGGCCACATGGAGGAAGAAAAGGTGGGCCACAAAAACAAACGCCGCCTTGTTAGTACCACACAACGTTACTGGATGAGGACAGTTGGAAAACTCGCGCGAGGAGGCGGCCGCAAATCGTCGCCCATTCCAGGTGTCGCTGGCATCGCTTTGCGACCACGTCACGTGACCTCTCCGCCGCGCAGCCGGCATCGCGCGGAGCAGACGGAGCAGCGACGCGGCTAGCAGGGCCTGCGCTTGCAGACGATTTTTTCCCTGCTGGTAATAATGGTTAAGTAACCTAAATTAAGTAACGTTAAGTAACCTAAATATAAAAAAAAGGCTGGCTCGTTGTTTCGTAACAGACCTTATGCATTAAATTTCAACCATGACAGAGCAGACGATAATGTTTACGCTGTTCTGCTTTCTGGAGAGAAAGCGGACGGTGACTCTGAGCAAGCAATTGTTCGCGGTTGAATTTTGCTCCCTTCGGGAGAACGGTCGGCATGCCGAGGTGTGCTGTGCCAGGCTGTCGAAGTGGATATTCATCGGCAACGTCAAATGAAGTGCCCTTCGTGCAGCGACACTTTTTCAAGCCACCGAAAGACCCCAATGTGCTGAGGGAGTGGAACAATGCGGCAGGCCGTGCAAACTTCGAAGTTACTCAAAGATCATACATATGTGATCGTCACTTTGATGAAGCGGACATTTGCACCTCCTTCCAGCATGTTGTGAATGGCGAAACAGTCTCGATTCCGCGAGGACGCTGGGAACTGAAGAAAGGTGCGGTACCGCGGCATTTTGCTAATTGCGCTGAGCTTGATTTGAAGCTTTGTGTAGAAAATGTTGGCACAAATGCAGCAAGCGTGCTAGTGGCCGAAGATGACATTACCCCAGTTCTTCAGAGTGAAAGTGAGACGTGCACTGAAATGCTTGAACACGAAAACAGGGCTGCCTCAAATGCTGAAAGCATGGAAGTCATCATGAAAGAAAGCTCCACAGGTGAACATTGGTTTGGTGGCATAGAAGACTTGCCCGTGTATGGAGCATGGTGTGTGCAACACACGGATGAGCGTGTTGTTTTTTACAAACTTCAAGAAATTGGTGGCGTAGTTTTTATTGAAAGAGCTGTCGTTATAAACAAAAACTCGACCGTTGTTGTCAGCGCTAAAGGGAAACTTGTGCCGGAATCGTCTTACACCTTTATTAACAGTGACAAGCTCAATTTTACCACCTTGAAAGACGCAGCGCCCTTTCTTCATCTCATTGAGAGCCTGGGTATCTGCAATGGTTTTGATTCTCGTTTATGTCCTTTAATATCAACTTCTAAGACGGCTGAAAGGTCTGGGAGAACATGGAGAAGCAAGCGATGTGCAGTGCTGTCGGCGAAAGCCTTATGCGTTCAGTGCAGGAAAGCAAAAAAGAACTTGCAGTGCAGGCAGAAACGACGTTCAAGAAAGAGCAAGTACGTGCCTTTGCCATCTGCGCTGTTGAGAAATTTAAGAAAGAAGACTATAAGAGCAACAGTGCTGCGGGAGAAATACAAGAGGGACCTGCTAAGCTTGAAAAAAAAGTTGTCATCAGATCCAAGCAATGCACTGTTGAGCGAGGTTTTAGCTGAACTTCCACCACTGCAGCAACTTGCATTTCGGACAGCACTGCAGTCGATGAAAGCGAAATCTTCAAGAGGTGTGCGGTATGACTGTGGGTGGCTGCTGAGTTGCCTTCTCTTGAAGATTTCAAGCCCACGTGTGTACCGCTTGATGTCAAGAATGAAAATCCTCCCTCTTCCAACTTCGACTAGGCTCCGACAAATAATAAGAGGAATGCCTTGTGAGTTTGGCTTTAATAAGCTCTCCCTTTCCAGCATAGGGGCTTTCATGAAGACTATGAAAGGAGTCCAGTGTTACGGCACACTAGTAATAGATGAAATGAAGGTACGCCAAGCCGTAGCTTTCAACCGTCAAACATACAAGATTGATGGGTTCGTAAATTACGGAGACGGTGAAGTTTCAGCAGCTACTGCTGATCATGCATTGGTTGCAATGTTTGTGCCTCTATTCCACTCATGGGTTCAACCGATTGCAAGTTTTGCAACAAAAAACGCAGCCCCCGGACACGTGCTCGCCAAAATAGTTCTTGATGCAATCGTGCAGCTACGCAAACACAACGCCATAGTCGTCGCAGTAATCAGTGATGGCGCCAGCACGAACAAAGCAATGTGGTCCAACTTTGGCATATCAGGAAAGCTTCACACAGCAAACCACAAAGTTCAGCACCCATGCGAGCCAAATCAAAGCCTCTACTTCCTTTGCGATGTACCCCACATTGTCAAATGCATTAGAAACCATCTTCTTCGACACAAATATGGCATGGTAAGTACCACGTACAGTACAATATCGCAATAAATAGTGTCGCGGTGCCAATCAAAATACATTTTCTTCGCAGCACTACATACGACTGACGGACTTTTTTTTTCCCTCTCTTCTTCTTGCTCATAGATTGGTGAACATCGCATAAACTATGACCACTACCGAGTTTTGCAAGAAGTAGACGGCAAAGAGCAACTCCGCATTGTTCCGAAGCTTACCGCTGAACACGTCTGCCCTGACAACATGAGAAAAATGAGTGTGAAGCTCGCAGTACAGGTAAGATTACGAAAAGCTGCTTTTGAAAGAACTTATAGCTTACCTGATTATTTAGGCAAATTCTTCACATGTGAAACACAAACTTAACTGGTACTGTGAAGTGTTCTCCTTAAGTCTTTTTGCGATTAATAAAATGCCCCTATACGTTTTCTGTCCCCTAGCTGCTCAGCCGAAGTACGGCTATCGGCCTTGATGTGTACCGGAGACTCAAGCAAGATGGCCTGGAAGACTGCGAGGGGACAGCCGCGTTTACCCGCATCATAAATGACCTTTTTGATGCCCTGAACATCAAGCTTCCTCGTTTTGGGATAAGGAGCACATCCAAGGAAATTAAGGCAAGGGCGATAAAATGTGCTACTTTTGAAGAACATTCGCAATAGGTAATGTTAATCAAGAACTGAGGCACTGGGCATATAAATAAAATACAAAACGCCGACAAACATTTACACCAACAAAAGCCTAGTTTAAGTAGACATTTATTTTGTAATTGAAGGAAGGTATTATTGAAAGAAAGACGACGAATAAATGTCTTGGAACTTAGAACTTCTCCTTCCAGATAACTGAAATAAACGTCGATGAGAAGGCGACACGCCGCAAGCGTGATTTCAAGTATTACCAGCTTCCATTTTCATTCAGTGGCACACATGTTTCATTAAAAAATCAGGTTAAAAATAACTTTATGCCTTTCTTCAAAGGTCCCTTTTTTTATAGGCGTCGACGTTTGCATGTAAGAGCTAGCTTGCACAAAAAAGTAATGTCTAACATAAACTTTTCCCTTTTCTAGATCATCCAAGATTTCATGATTATCTTGGACTTGACAGAGAGAAACCACGTTGAGAAAGGAACAGCCATGTTCGCATCTCAAGTAACAATGGAGTCTCTAAGGGTGACTTTGTCATCTATCTTGGAACTAACAAATGACCTCCTTGCTAAAGGTGCACGCTACGTGCTCACAGGCAAGCTTAATCAAGACCCCTTGGAGGTGAGATTAGCATAATTCCATAAAACTGCGCACTTACTTCATTGCATGGAAAATAAACAAAACGGTTATGAGGAAGCATAGCGTGGTTTTAAACAGTCGTCATATCTCTATGTGAGATGTGCAATTCCCGCCTGAGACTTGCACTCTATAAATCCTCTTTATGCATTCCATACGCCATGCGTACTTTGACTTCTGAAAGAGATACATACGGTGAACTGACGTACGGCTTTATTACTACCATTACAGAGGTTCTTCGGAATCACCAGGAGCTTTGGAGGTGACGAAGACCATCCGACGATCCTGAGCTTTTCCCATATCTACAGGTTGCTGAGCCTGTACACACCTGTCAAGGCTTCGATTGCAGGCAATGTCCAAGAGGAGCCAACCTTAATACTAGCCACAGTGCAAGAGACGATGAAGCAAGGGAAGAAGCAGCAGCTGGCAACGTATGAAAAGTTGCGTGAGACAATCAGCGCAAAGATTTCCGAGGTTTGCTTGCCTGGAATAAGTTCAGCATCCCACTCGGGACCGACACCGCTTCCGGACCACGGATATGCTTTGCCAGCAGTACAGGAGTGCGTCGTATATTACCTCTGCGGCTACATTGTACATTCTTTTCTGAAGCACGTCAACTGCGCTGCTTGCATAAGCAGCATCCAGTCAACAAACACTAAATTCCCCGCTTCACTACTGACATTGGCAAGAGAATTCAGGAACGGAAGCCTCAAGCATCCCTCTACAGAACTTTACACAATGTTGAAACGCGTCGAAGAAAAACTGTCTCTCGTGCTAGGAGAAAACCATCTGTGCGCCGACATGTTTTGGGATGCGCTGGATGTCATCAAAGACTGCGATGTTCCAAGCGTTGGTTGTTCAGTTCATAAGGACATCCTGACATCGGAGATTGTACACTCATACGTTGTTTTGAGAATGCACTTTTTTACGAGAGATGTTTGTAAGAAGCTGAGTGCTTCTGGCAGGGTGTCTTCTACAAAAAAGAAAGCCAAACTTCTCTAGACTACGCACCAATAAACTACGCAGTGATTTAACATAGAAATGTTGCCAAGTAAAAAAAAAAACAGGAACTTGAACAAATGTGTTTGGTGGCTTTTCTTACAGTTATTGCACAGCAACATGCACAGATCTCAGTGAATTAAGGGCTGTAATGAGGACACGGGAACATCGGAACAGCATTAAATAACCTAGCAGGAGTCCCACGTAGAACACAGCCAGCTTACCGGCGACGCATGTCATTGGTTCGAAATTTGGGTATTCGAGTGTCAAACTAAAATGACGCTGTTCTTTTTAATTCGATTGCATTCCTCCCTTCATGAAGAGGTGACGAAGAGATGAAGGAGCTTCTCCAAGCTCCTTAATTCATATCCACTCGATTGGCATTCCGTGTTCCTAGTCATGCACATTCGATACATTTAATTGTCAATCGGAAAAACAATCTTTACACTTAATAAAACTTCTAGGCGCGTAAAACTTTTTTTTCGCCTTTTGATTTTTTTTTTTTTTTTTTTTTTTTTTTTTTTTTTTTAAGCAAGTGATCTTATCTTCTTTCTAACATATATATGTGTGTCGTAGTAGTAATAAATCAGTTGAAAGTCTGCGCTCGTCCTCGTCTCTTGTGTTAGTTGTCTGAAGTTTTACGCGCCTAGAAGTTTTATATGGATTACCAACTAGCCCAATCCCACACTTTACTTAAGTACACTTAATAAAATAGTTGAATTTGCACAATTTAAAAACTGTATCTACTTACAAACGGTATGCATTTAAAAAATACAAGCCGACTGTTACGAACCATTCTGTTAAAATTTGTTTGTAACTACGTGTTTCTTCTGCAAAAGATTGCTGTGCTGGGAACCAAAAAAAAAAAAGTGAGTTGTCTCGTAAGATATACATCATCGTATTATTCTCCCTGACAAGCCACACAGATAACGCACCGCAGCGTAAATGCAGCGGCATTGTATACAATAAAACATGCGCAAGTTTTCAGAACTCGCGACTGTTTCATTTAGAACGCTTACTGTCGCTTTCAAATAAGAGCATGCTTTTATAGAAAACGCTCAATGTAAGGACTGCACGAGCAATGCGATCTCAAAAAAATTTTCAGGAAATTTCAGTTTATGCTCTCGGAGGCACCTATTCATTAGGCAAGCACAAGCTCATCACATCGAAACACCTGCGGAATGCAGTCAGCACCATCAGCACGTGGCAAAAAGAACCACTCAGACTTCGTTCAGAGCTCCAAGCTGTGTCCACCTTCATCTATGCAGTGGTTGTAGCAGGAAGCTCTCAATATGCATCCGCTAACAAGATTCCTTGAGATATGAAGTGCTCCAAAAACGCTGCGCCGTCCTTCGGAGACGGGGCGCGGAACAGACGACGAGCAGACGACGCACGAAGCTCGTCACATGACCAGGTCGCAAAGCGATCGCAGCGCCCCCGCGTTTTGGGAGACTGTGAGCGGCCACGCCGCTTCCGTGGCGAGCCCATGCAGTTTCCCAACTGGCTCCATCCAGTAACGTTGGTACCACAGCAGTGTTGCCATTAGAATTAATACAAAACGGCTAAAATTTTTGTTAAGTAAAACGAAACTGCATAGTTAACCCTAAACAAACATTTGCACATACTACAAACAAGTGAAAGTTATATAGTGTTTTTCAATAGCTTTATCAGAAAGGTATAGGCTATTTGTGCAATTTATTGTGCAAGAGCGTCTGCAGGTGGATTTAGCAACGTACGGTTCCAAGACGAGCCCCAACTTGTGTCTTCGCGGCGGCCAATTAATAGCCGTCCGGCGGGCCGCATCCGTCGGTGTCAACCGGTCGTGTTTATTTGCGGGCGTTTTCTTTTGGCGGTTTTTCGGCATCTCGCTTCGATGCGTTGACCCTCGGCGGACGAGATCCGCAGAGCGAGCAGCGCCTCAGGATGCCTCGGGAGCGCAAGGGGGCGAATAAATTCAAGGACGCTGACCTCGACGGCTCGGGTGACATGAAGCTGCAGCCGGAGAGCCCCTCCACCAAGAAGCGTCGCACGCCGGCGACTCAGGCGAGCCCGTCCGTACCCGACTTGGTTCCGCCGCCCCCGATGACGGGCTACGGCGAGACGATCGTGGCGTCCAATCCTTTCGACGACTCCGTCACGTCGCAGCAACAAAGCCACCTGCACCGGCGACCGCCGCCGCCTCAGCACGCGATGCTGCACCCCAACGTCTCGCAGGCCCAGATGCCGCCCTCCGGCGGGCCGGGGATGCCGCCGTCGGCGGCTATGCACCCGAAGCCGATGCCCGTGTCTTCGGGCAAGGTCTACCCTCCCGACCAGCCGATGGTGTTCAACCCGCAGAACCCGAACGCGCCGCCCATATACCCGTGCGGCGTGTGCCACAAGGAGGTGCACGACAATGACCAGGCTATCTTGTGCGAGAGCGGGTGCAACTTTTGGTTCCACCGCATCTGCACGGGCCTCACGGACGCCGCGTTTCACCTGCTCACGCAGGAAGTCTACGCCGAGTGGGTGTGCGACCGGTGTCTCTCGTCCAAGAGCATACCGCTCGTCAAGTTCAAGCCGTGAAGTGTAGCGCGCGCGTCCTTGTTGTCGCACGTAGTGCGACAGCGAAAGCCGCCTACTCAGTGTGATTTGTAATGACACCGCATTTCAGGTTGCACGTAGAGCTCTGTGTGTTACCGTGGCCGTAAACGCGAGAGGCCGGACAGGTGGGGCCATCTGGAGGCGCAAAGGCGATGCAGGCAAGCACGGAATTGTTCTAGCAGAAACCTTGTGTGTTCTTCTTCTCTGTTGCTTTAAATTATCCGCGGAGCCGTAATTCACGCGGCTGTAATTATGGTGGTTCCAAGCGTCGCAAGATATCCGTGCTCTTGTCAGATAACCCGTTATTCTGCAAACACCTTTGCACATTCTGGAACGCTGTACACGCTAAAACTCTCTACGAGAAAATTTAGCCTAGGGTGCACGAAGCGTTGTACTAGCGTTTGCCACCACTGCACGTGCATTATAAGGTAACTTTTTGGGTATGCACGTTATAATTTAAAAAATAGCGCACATACCCAAAGCAGCACAGGCATAAGAACCCAATCCTTAAACTATATTGAACTCTGTGCATATCCAAGGAACACAAAGCCTGCACATGCCATTTTAAGTGTGCCTAATGTATGTTAGTCAATGCAAATTTTATTGAAACATTCTGACTGCAACATTATTTTGGACATGTTTCTGCCAGCTTCTTTTAAACAAGCCACTTTTGGTCAATGTCTATTTTTCCCGATTTAAAGAAGGATATGATCTGGATTATTGATTGCTCGGATATTATCTAAAAACGTCCAAAGGAGACAAATGTACTCGTTTTCAAAGTAGACATTATACGGTGAACCCTATCAGCCATGCTTGAATCACAGGGCTGTTGACCCAGCTTTGCTAACAGTATGCCTGATTGACTACTTTCAGCTTAATCTTTTTTGTGGAATACGGTGTCAAATTCAGTGAGATCCGGTGTTATAGCCTAAATGGTGCACGTCATTTTTTCATAATATCTTTCTGTTGCTGATCTTGCAAATAGAATTCTTTATTGTGCAGCAACCATCGACTTACAGTAATTAAAAGTGCACCCGTCATTGCTTTGCAAACAAGTAATTTTGAAAATTAAAGTGAAATTTTGCGACCACTGTTTATGGCATCTACACCATTCTGAGCTTGATACAGTCAACCTATATCTTTGTTGCTTAAATCTATAGGCAATCAACATTTTCCAGCTTACATGATGGCAAGAGACACTTAGGATTGAATGTTTTTATTGCTTATGACAGGTCTGGAGTTCAGAATTCAAAGCTGCTTGTGCAGCATGTGTCCGACGCCTGTTAAAGAACTCCATGTGGTTTAGATAGGTCAAGAGCCATGCAAGTAATAGCTGTGTTCAGTCATTGGAACTTAAAGTGTCGCTAATTGTTTGATGATGGTTGTGTGATTTTGCAAACAAGTTTTGCGAAAAGAAGCTATGGTATGCAAACTTGCACAGTTCTTCAATCATACAAGTTGCGAAACTCGCCATGGGCCCCAAGTGTCAAAATCTGGGCATGCAGTGGACCAACTCTCGGGCTTCTGCTGATTTTCAGCTCATCTGTTGACCAGAAAATTAACTGCTTACTACGATGTCAGCACTGTTTACGGCATAGAGCAGCTTGCGAGAAGCGCTCGTGGGGGATGGTGCCATGGCACTTTAGTATTTCAGATTGCTGCTTCCAGATGGCATGACAATCTGCAGGTTTCTTTGTAGTGAACCTAAACAACAGGAAGAAATGAAGGCACATGTAGACAGACAGCGCTATTCAGGAGACTTACTGAAATGAGCTACCAACAAGCTTGCATCACATCTCTCGTGAATCTGCAGGCCCCTGCATAAGCGGCCACGGGACTGCCAAGATTTAGGAATGCAGCTTTGCTACTCGTATGATTGGATAACTTAGAAAACACAGACACAAGAAAAGAGATCAAGGCAATACAAACAATGCCTTTTTGTTAGGATGAATCCTTACCAAGTAGCTGAGTGTTGTGTTGTGTGGCTTGCTAACTGTTAGCAAAGTAACCACCCAACATTCAAAGTTGAAGATGTGGGAAAACTTGTAGGGTAAATATGCTGAGGAGTGGCAAAGCATGGTGAACATGCATAAAATGTAATATTGCATAACTTGTAAATCTGAAATGTCTATTAATGATACAACATGCAAGAGGTATATGCTTATACCGAAAATAGTTGCTTATTCGTTGTGACTTCCTTGGGAAGTAAAATACTATTATTTCAATGAAAAAGGAGATTGTAGCAACTTCTGTTAGGTCATCTAGTTTTGGCCGCCTTTCTGTATTGTACATATAGTTCATTTATGCTTCATATTTCTTGTGTATAATGTGCATGTTCTTATTGTTCTTGCCCACTCATTTATGCTGCACTGTTGTGGCACAGTATGCATCCACGTTTAAATAGTGAGCACTGTTGTTGAGCATGCGTTACATTTTGATCATGTCATCTCTTGATATTTGGGCTCATATTTATTACTTCCACATTCTTTTTATTTTCTCCCCCTTTTACTGAAACACACCTTCACTAAAATTAATTTTGTAAGTTAATGTGGTATTGAGATTGTTTCAATTTTGTAAGGCAAACAAGAGCCTCATTATAGAACATTTGTGCCAAAACTGTTTTATCAGCCCATTAATATAGATCTTCTACTGTTGATAGCATAAAGTTCAGTAAGTACCTATTGTAATTAAGTACAATTGACCAAGTTATCTACAAGCATTGTTAACTCAATTGTCACTCCACATGATATAGTTAAGCTGTGCAAGAACAAAGACGAATACACATGCATAAGGACAGATGTAAGCTACTAATTCATCTTGTCAATGAGTGTTTCTTATCTCAGTGTTTGGCATTTGCAACCAACATTGCTTGCAACTAAAGATGTATATATGACCATGCAGCTCGGGCGAAAGCGCTGCTGATCCGTTTGCTCTGTCAGACTAAAATTTGACGGTAAGGGCGACAGTGCCACATGCTGTTTTACAAAAGTTGCATTGGAGCGGCCTGCACTGCACTTGCATTGGAACTAATGAAACTCCTCACCAATAGCTGTCGCACTTCTCTGTTCTGAGGCTGCATTCTGAGATGATCACTTTTTGAGATATTGCCATAGCACCGCTTTCAGAGTGCTTTGAAGTAGCTGTGTGAGTCAGGAACCACAGTGATCTACATTATGCGAAGCAAGATTGTCGTCGAAAGGGGTAGTTTCAGAACATACCTTGTTGTAAAGTTTGTATTTTTTCCTCAACTGCGGTTAATGAAATGCAAACAAATGCTATTGTGCACTATGTAAAAGATTGCCAGAGACTCTTGCATTGTGATTTCAGTGATGAAAAGCATCTGCACATTGCATTAGAGTAGTTTCTGTTACAGTTTGTTTGCACATGTTTGTATGTTTCAGCCATGATCTCAGGCTCCCATGTACAGTTGCTGCCTTTTGCTTGTATAAACTTATTTCAATGACCTATTCCATTTGCCTCTTTTTTTATTTACTGCATGTGCATGTGCTTCTGCAATGCTTGTGCTACCAGTACGATCCTTTTGGCTGGTGGTTGTGGTAGCCTTGTGCGCTTTCTATAGCGTACATACTTCTCAAGCTGTATAACGGGAAGTTGAAAGTTGCATGAGTTGGTGCGAGTTTATTTTTATGTGTGAAGCGGTGCACGAAGACCAGGCGCAGCAGGAAAACACGAGACGACATCGCAAGTGCTGCAGGACAACCGCTGCAACAAGGCACAAGTTCTTGTGTTTATGTGCACTGCTTTACATATGAAAATATTCTCAAAAGGGGAATTAATTGTCAAGAGTTGAGTTGTACGTCTTGGCAAGAAGCACTAAATTGTAGAAATTGTGGCAGTCATCTATTTCTTGTAAAACGATCCTAGTTGGGTGCGCTTACGACAGGGATTTTACGTTTCAGTTTCAAAGTCGGCTAGAAATTGCTCACTGTTCTATAGGCAAATCAAGCCATAGATTCAAGCTGGACCGCGTCATAAGCTCGCGGACACGGCCATTGGCTGATATGAGCATCGTGAGGTGCATAGTTATGTTGCGGCCGCAGCGTGCCGCCACGCACCCGTGCCTTGCTCTATATATTAGAATTATACCACAAATCTGTCTGTCTTTAACAAACCCGGGTGCATCGAATTATAGTTTATACCGTGCACACGATGCTCATTATTCATGTGAAATGTAATTTCGATAACAAACACACATTGGATATCTCGAATTTGCCGAAGCCGCGTGCCGAAACGGCAAGTGCAGCTGAAGATGATGGCGCATTTGTCGTTCTTTGGGAGGAACTCCCAAAGAATGGGTCCTTATGTCCTTCCCACAATGACATTCACCATAAGATCATTGATGACATTCTCAAGTTGTTCAGTCAGCATGGTATAGGGCTCGCCATTACTCACGAAGTCTCCAAGAATTGCGAGCTACAGTTTCTGGACCTAGAGCTAACCTTTGGTAAAAATCATGTGTGTTGGAAAATATGACCCAAGATCAGCGAAGCCCATCTTAAACTACAAGTCTGGCCATTCTAAGATTGTGAGGAGAGCGATTTCAAAGACAATCTTAAATATTGATATTGCCATTTATAACCAGATCAACCGCTAAGTAGTTGCTGGGTATCCTGACAAGGTAATTCAAAATGTGCCGTGAATCATGAGAAGAAGTACACCGCATGCGTGATAAAAGTTGTGTATTTGACTCCATTATCGTGTGGTAGGGAGTACGTGGGACAAACAAAACGATGTGTGAACGTTCGTTTAAGGGAGCATGAGTTATCTCTTCAAGGGGTCGCGCGACTTCACCTATACCGGGACATTGCAGGTCATGCGGTTGTTGTCCCATTTTTGAGAAAACCACCGTCATCTTAAGCGTGCTAATTAACCAACTAACAAGAGAAATCGCCGAGGCCTATCATATACAAAGATTAGGGGGTAGCATGTGCATAAGTGAACCTTGCGTCACACCGCATGAAAAATAATTTAGTTATTTAGGCCATTCTTGATTATTGCCGTAAGTGTGACAACGCTGCCTCGGTGCACCTCTTATTCTGCGCATGCCGTGATGTAAGCTGCCATTAGCTACACATATGTTTCGGTTTTATTTAGTTTTTTTCCAATGAAGAAAAGTTGTGAGTCAGCGCCGTCTTTTCTTTCTTTTTTGCTCCTTCTCTGTCCTGTGTCTGTGGTGTTGCGCTGTAAACAAGTTCACGAAGGATCCTAGTGGCCGTCTGTGTGTCAGCAGCGCTGCAAAGCAGTCGCCGAAACGTCACGATATCTTGCACGAGCGTGTGACGAAGTAGTTCATACCGTGTTGTGACGTCATGGTACAGTAGGAACCGAAACTGGTTTTCAAGCGCGTGCTGCGAGTACTTTTTCAGGGTGCACTGACGCTTAGCAGTACTTTTTCTGTGCTCCTGAGAATCTGGCCTTTTGTTTGACGCATAAAAAAACGGCAACCGAAAAGTTTTTCCTCAGTACCACCCTAATTGGTGCTTGCCGCCCGTGTGTTGCCTTCTCTGTTCTTAGAGGACCCACGGGGGTTTGTGGTATTTCCCCGATTTCTGAAGGTGCATATACCCGTTCGTGATGATCAGTTTCTTGTACCCACCTTCTTGTGCACAACAAAGCTTTTGCGACCGGCTCAGAAGGCTTCGCCGTTAAAAGATGGCTACCTGTGACCGCATTTGGTGAGGCCTGACTTCCAACACATAAAACTCTTCCGTAAGATAAACATTCGCTCTCTTTTGGAGGGTCGTGCGTCGTATACAGCCCTCCGATCTGTTCTGTTCTTTTTTTTTATGGTTGAATGAAGCATTCAGTCACTTATCAGTGCCGGTGTTGTGTAGTTGTCTTCTTCGTGTTTCTTTTTTTTTCTTTCGCGCTGTTTGAACATGAACCCGAACCAACTGGCCACTCTCCCCTTTGTACTCCGAAGAGAGCATATTGATTGATTGATTGATTAATTGATTTGTGGGGTTTAACGTCCCAAAACCACCATATGATTATGAGAGACGCCGTAGGGGAAGGTTCCGGAAATTTCGACCACTTGGGGTTCTTTAACGTGCACCTACGGGCCTACAACATTTCCGCCTCCATTGGAAGTCCAGCCGCCGCAGCCGGGATTCGAACCCGCGACCTGCGGGTCAGCAGCCGAGTACCTTAGCCACTAGACCACCGCGGCGGGGTGAAGATAGCATATTAATATCTCAGAAATAGCCAACGTGTATCTTTATAGTTAGTTATATATGTGGCAAGCAGAGACTGTAAAAAAGAGTAAAACAACCTTACCATATAAATGGCCAATCGCGTTGCCGAGGATCTTGCTTTTGCGGATGCATATTCTACACCATCTCTTCATCTTCAAAGCCACACGGGCCCTTTTGATGTTCAAGGAACAGCGACCGCCTGTGACACGTTGAGCTGTGTGTGTGTCTTGATATGTAGTGCGCACTGTTTATTTGCGCACTGTTGATTTTCTCTTTCTCTTTCAGTTTTGTTCCATTATAGTCCTTCCTTTGTGCAGGGTAGCAAACTGGACGTAGTTTAGTTGACCTCCCTGCCTTTCTCGTACTCTTTCTCGCTCTCCCCGTCTCCATTTTACCCTTTTATTTATTTTATTCAGTACATACTGCAGTCCGAAGAGCAAGCATGGGAGAGGGGGCTGAAATGTGGAAAATAGTAAAAAAAAGGAGGGAGGGGGAAGCAAGCAAGATTAAGCGTTACTACTAAAAATAAGTACAATCTAACTAGGATGACTAAATGTACATTTCTAGAAAGAAGTGCGCAATTCTCTGCAAATGGTTTCAAAAAGCAACACAACGGAAATTGGGACTTTATTTCGTAACCTTGTAAGATGCCATGTTAATGTACCATTGCAAAATCCCTGGCAGAAATAATGACGAGATATTGGAGCGTTCACATCCGGGACAACTCGGATCACCTCTGTTCACATGCCTTATAACGCGTCACTCGTGACATTGACATTTCCTCAAGCCCCTAATGAAGAACTTTCAAAGCGGTTGATGACGTACGTTGCGGTAGATGTTTAATGGCAGCGTAATTGGCCCGATTATTTACAAGCATTGTTTCTTATCTCAGTTATCACACAACCCCCTCCCCTGTTCCATTACCTCCGAGAGACAATGAAATTCGAGCGTGATAAGATAAAGTGTGACAGCGGGACGCTCTCTTTTTACAAGAGGTGCATTGAAGCTGGCTAGCTTCAGCGATGGAACTCGTCACATTAGTCGCGGCAGTTCTGTGTTCTGGTAGGTGGTGTTTGGATTCTTTCTTCTGTAATGGTTCTCAACGTGGTGCATAAACGAAATGTTATTGTGTGTGGTGCGTTCGTACAGGACACGCAAATGTGTTGGGAGACTCTCCGCTCATAATTACGTTATTGAAGTGTATACTTATGTCACATGAGTGTGATATTTTTTAACGATTCGTTTGGACGTGCTTGTTTGCTTCTATCCTATGCTCCCACAAAGGTACCTCCTATACGTTAAAGGCAGTGCCTTTACGTATAGGCAGTTAAAATACGTTAAAAGAAAAGGTATGTTGATATTTCGTTCAACATCTTGCGAAGGGTAGCACAGAAGCGGTCCAGCGTCTTTACTATCCTGTGTGCTTTCCTTTGTCCCGCTTCCACGCAAGAAGTAGCATAAAAGCTTTCAACGACCAATTTTTAAGCAAAAAGTATTGCACCAAATCGAATATGATGCCACAAAACAGGAACACTGAAAGAGATTTGAGCTCGATCTGTTTAGTGCTCCTTCTTTGCTGTGTCCTTTTCTCGGAATTTTTCCTGCTTGAACCAACTGCCTCTCAAGACGTCCTAACCAAAGTCATGTGCTACATCTTTGTTGGCAGCAATATCTGGGTTGCCGTCAGTATATGCCTCAAGTAGCATCTGATGATAGCTTTTGTAGATGTTACATGTTTAATTATACAATTATATTGCATGCATCACGTACCTCATAATCTTTATGTGAATGGTGTTATTTGTCTTACGTAATTAATTCTTTCAGGGTAAGCTACTAGTGTGTAGAAATAAGAATTAAACTCTAGAAATGGTTGTACAGTCATCTGTCGCTGACATGAAGGTCGGTACAAGTTATGATTCTGTAAATTTATCTTGCCCTCGTATGGTTGTCTTTTGTCGACGTTTGTGCAGCTAGTTAGCGTTGTGCCGCCGGTCAGCGTCACAATCAATTTGTTTTGTTCGATGTTGCCTGTAAAAACAAACAGAGGGGAAAAACTTAAGCTTTCTTTGTTCTACAATGCTTCTTTTCTAGCCGGCCCAGTGTTTTCTCGCAGTTTGAACCTTCCCGCCGTTTCTGACACCGACAGGGCGTGCAAGGACGCCCTCAGACCCGACATTGTTGACAATGATCCTACGTACATCCTGAGTCCAAACTTCGACGGCATCAACAGATATCCTGCTGGTGCGTTGTGCATATGGACATTGCGTGCTCCGCCAGGGAAGGTGAGTGCATGGCGATACAACTGGTCTTTCTATCGTCGGTCTCATGTGTACACAAGTGGTGGCGTTGAAATGACCTCAAAAGACATTTCAATAGTATATGCGCACATTTCAGTGTTATCTTTAATGCCCCTCCGCGGTGGTCTAGTAGCTAAGGTACCCGGCTACTGACCTGCAGGTCGCGGGATCGAATCACGGCTGCGGCGGTTGCATTTCCGATGCAGGCGGAAATGTAGGCCCGTGTACTCAGATTTGGGTGCACGTTAAAAAAAACATCAGGTGGTAGAAATTTCCGGAGCCCTCCACTACGGTGTTTCTCATAATTTGGTGGTTTTGGGACGTTAAACCCCACATATGAATCAATCAATCAATCAATCAAACCATCTTTAATGCACTGTACCGCGGACACCAGGACTACTTTTCTCGGGTTTTCATGTGTCAGCCAGTAAAATTACGCATATACACCAAGCAGGGACAATCCTGGAGACAGAGCAGTACTGAAGTGGAGGGCAATGGCAACATAGTTTACGTGAGTGGATCACAGTGGAGCTATGCAGCACCGCAAGCAGTGCCCGTAACGTGGAGTTGACGCAACATCTTAGAGCGTATATTGAGCACGATTGTACTCTCGTATATCTGAAGTAAAGGAGTACATTGCCACGAAATCACTGTGGTTGTGGTTATGACGCTTAACTGCTGGTCCGTAACACGCGGGTAATTTCAATTGCGATCACATTTCAATGGAACAAGGCTGAAGGTCGTCTACTGTTCTATGTCAGAGCACGTCAGAGAACCCCAGTAAGTCTAAATTATGCGGAGCCCGCCACTACGGCGTTCGTCATAGCCCGAATCACTTCGAAATGTTAAATAACCCCTAAACAACCTGCTGTGGAAATACCAAGAACGAGCGCGTCATTCCCATCTGGCGCGTCTAATCTTTTCGGTGGACTCTGTGACGTTAGCAGTCTATTCACGCGACGTCATGAGGAAAGGAAGCTCACGATTGGTCAATATACGAGGAGTATCAGTCGCGAATTGCCTCCCTCCTAACCTACCCTGTCATGCAGTCGCACGCCCGTTCTGCCACGTCTCATAGTTTAAAGGGACACTAAAGAAAGGCAACAAATTGGTTTAGATTTACAGACTGCACTCTGAGAACTCTAATGCCATATGTTTCACTATCATAAGGTTATTAAATCTCCATGCGTGATGTAAGAAATTTCGAGATGTATTATGGGTGGTGTTTTCGTGGCATTGGCTGGATGAAATTTTCAGGAACCGCTTCTGCTATGTCTTTGGTACGAGTATATGACGATGTACTTAATTCCTATCGATAGGAAAGAACGTAGGACCTATCATTAGACGCTTTCAAAATCCTCTGAAGGACTAAATTCGAGTCGAGAAGCGTTCGATGAATGCGGTTGTTGTCAGGGCCCCTCTCCGTCCCGTCAACCAATCTGTACCAGAATCGAAAGGTGGGCAGTTGGATATGGATTTCCTTTCTGTTTATTCGTGCGCTTGAACTGACAGTTATACCAATCTGTACCGCTTCAGGTGATCAATTTGGCGTTCGAAGAGTTCTCGTTGCAAGACTCGCTGGACTGCGTCCGGGACCGAGTGGCCCTGTACGCCGGCGAGTGGCGGCCGCCGCCCCAGCACCGGCAGCAGTTGGCCGAGAAGCAGCAGAACGCGGTCGCGCTGGGCTCGGCGATCGAGGAGCAGGGATCGGCGGCCCTCCTGGCTCGCTGGTGTGGACCATGGTTGCCACGCGACTACGCGCTTACGCCAAACGCCGCGGCCACGCTCGTCTTCTCCTCCGGAAGGCTGGGCACACCGGGACTGGGGTTCGTGGCACGCTACTACCTCAGCGACGCTCCCGTGAAAGGTGAGTGACAGCTAGTGTTCGTTCCTGCTGGTCAACTGCTGCTGTTGTCGTTATACAGTGTGCTCAGTGTTCCCTTACAAGAGCCTGAAAGTTGATCGGAAGCCCCCACCCTATTATGTAATTGTATGGAGTAAGCATGGCGGCCCGACCCTCTTAAGTGACTAAGGGGGGCTCTCCCTGCTCCCTCTTCCCGTGTTCGTGCTTAGGGCTACAGTATGGATGGTAAAACTTTATTTCGTCAGAAAGCAACTGCGGATGATTCCGTGTTAGATGGCCATCAACCCAAGGTTGGCGGTGACCTGTGTGGTGGCCCTCTCCACGACCCGTAACTGGACGACTAGGTCTGAGCTGGTCAACACGGCCTGCCAGTGCTCAAGAGAGGGATCAGTAATTATTTGATGTCACTCATACATTTTTGTTAGTAGTTTAGGTGTCCGTATTTCTCATTGTTGCGTTATTGCGCACCGCTTGAAAGACGAACACTTAGGAGACGAAGAACTACACGAACACTAGCGCAGGCTCTCGACCGAGTTTATTGGACGGACACATGATGCCTATGTACAATCGCGTTTCGTGGTTACAAAGAATAAATTATTTTACCAAAAAATGATGACTGCGGGAACACAACTAGTACACAAATCGGTGCAAGGCCACCTAGGCACAATAATCGCATGACGCGCGAAATCATTGAGGCGTCCGAGATTATTCACCTGGAGGATGACTGCATCAGTATGGCTTCTTTGGGGCTAACGCAGAAGGAAATGATGCCTCTGAATCTGTTATGCAAGATGTGCGACAGGTGCGTGTTTCCTCGGCATGAGTGGGTATCGCAATGGTAATGTATAAATTTTTTTGTAACTCTAGTAAATTTTTTGTAGCCATGAAACGAGCCATTGTATAAAAGCATCACGTGTCCGTCCAATAAACTCACTTTAAAGTTTGCGCTTGTGTTCGTGTAGTTCTTTGTCTCCAAAGTGTTCGTCTTTTAAGCGATGCGCAATAACGTAACAATGAATAGCTGCCAACTCATTCAAGCAAGTACCCTTAGAAGTCGTCTTTCTCGCGTCAGTATAATGCCCTGGGCTTCAAGTAATCGAGCTCTAAAGCTACAAGTACATATAGTATACCTGCTATTGGCACTGCCAGGGTTTTTTTTCCGGGGTGAAGGAAGGGGGGAGGGGGGGTGGAGGTTATCCATACTTTATAAATACATGTTCCGACTTGAGTTTGTACGTGCGTGTGTATATTACCCAAGATCAATTGAAATTTTCCTGAAATAAAAGTTTACCCCCCCCCCCCCCAGCTCCCACCCCGGCTACAATTAAGCTACTTGTGCGTGATAACTTTTGAGGACTTCGGGTTGTTTAAAATGTTGCCCCAGGCAGGGGAACACTTCGAATTTTACTTTGTGAGATAGCAGCGGGGGCGGGGGTTGGCGTAGTGCAGTTAGGATGAGAGAAGCACCCTTGAAGAAATTAGATATGAAACAGCCGTGTGGCACTTGAAAAAAAAAAAGCCACAGATTTGCCGCAAAGGCGAAGCAATGAACGCGATAGCAACAAATTGGAAGGTCACGCGAAGAATAATGGCAAGCAGATCGAAACGTGCTCCGCGTTTCCCACGCACAAATGACGCACGAAACGCACTCACAGATACAGATTAACGCGAATAACTTATGACGAACGATACAGAACCAGCGAAACGTGCATAGCCGCTGGATACCTAGCTGTGTCTCAAGAAGCTTTCCCAGGGGCTATGTGTACTCGTGCGCATGTTGTCAAGTGCAGTTCACGACTGTGGAAGGGATGATTGCACAAAAGCATTTTTCACTTAAAAGGTGAAGCAATGAACGTGATAGCGACGAATTGCAATGTTACACGAAGTCAACTCATTCAGATCCGATCTCACGTAACTCTACAAAACGCTGGTGTAAGAGAACACGGCCACTCCAGGTACACTCTTTGCACCGTTATTTTTTTTTTTTTTTCGTGTCGGGCACGGGGGTCGAACACTTCAGGAGAGCAGGATTCCCTTGAAGGAACTATATAGTGAAACAGTTTTGTGGTGCTTTTTTTTTTTTTAAGATGAGGCCGACGGCCGCTAGTTTAAAGCTTCAAGTGGGCAGCCGTCCCCTTGGAGTGCGGCTTATTTTTTTTTTTTTTGCACTGCAGATTATGTTGTCTATCATCTCTATCTTTTGGTACTACGCAGAGCACTGCAAGGGAGAGGAGCTACGATGCCGCAATGGTCAATGCGTGGGCGAACGCAAAAGGTGCGACAGGAAGGACGACTGCGGGGACGGAACAGACGAAGAAAATTGTGGTATGCAGCGCATGTTATCGCAGCAATATGTTGACATTATAAAGGGTTCCTCGGGTACCGCAATTAAGAAAAACAAACAAAAAATGCGAATAATAACCGCACAGGAGGTTCTGTTACTGATTGAAAATACCCGCGCACTCGATCACATTTTTTTTTTTGGGGGGGGGGAGGTATATATACCCGTGTGCACAGATTAGGGTGCACGTTAAAAGAACACCAGGTGGTCGAAAATTCCGGACCCCTCCACTATGGCGGTGGTCGAAATTTCCGGACCCCTCCACTATGGCGTCTCTCATAATCATGTGGTTGTTTTGGGACGTTAAACCCCACATATCAATCACACTTTATTCCAAATACGTATTTCATTAATTTAGTTGCTTCTCCAGCGCACGTGCACACGCACGCATGCACACCACAACTGTTGTCAGCGTAGTGTATATAAACATATATAAACATAAATAAAATGTTCCTATAGTATCTCTTGATATCACGCTGTCCGATAGCCTCATAGAATGCATTGTAATGAAATATACCTGGAACCTGCAGGCTCAGTGTCCGGACATTGCTCATGTTACCAGGATATCCTGATTGTACTCCACTGTAACAACTAATACCCGTGCCACACGGGCATAGAAAATGACATTTGGTGGCGAAGGCCTTCAGTTCCCGAATGACATTCGTTTCGCCGGCGCTGCTACACGTCCAAAGCGAATGCCATTTGACTTGATGATGTCGATCACAGCAGCTTCCAAATGAGCATTGAGTAAATAGCAATAAAAAAATTAAGAAGCATTTACAAGCTTCATACACATCAGATAATCATCAAATGTAGAAATAAGCGTATTACGCTGTCCTAAGTTTTAGTTTCTTGCTTTGTTTTACAACGTTGCAGCCGACCGTAGCAACCTAAGCCAACACTAGTCAGATCCACAGCGTAAATAGACACTAAAATTGACAAGCGTTTCATTATCAATACTTTATTTTCTTCGTATAACGTTTAAAGCATGTTTTTAAGATTTTAGTGCAAATAAAAGACGGGAAATTTCATTTTTAGCTCAATATGATTTTTTTTATATACTTTCAGGTAAATCGCACTTCGCGAGCTGTGTCGTCGAGAGTAGGCATTTCTCAGTCAACTGAGTTTTGGCGAAGGCAGTTGGCGGCGAATGGCAATCGAATGGCATTCGGATGAATGCCATTTTGTTCGCCCGTGTGGCACCGCGCGAATGACAATAAATCTGAAGGCATTCGGGGGTAAATGCCATTTTTTTCTGCCCGTGTGGCCCGGGTATAACAAAGCACGAGTAATTTTTGTTAGTTCCCTTCGTCATAAATGGTTGGCTAAACTGCTTCGTTCGCCTGACAGTGCATCTTCCCGTCTTCACTTTCTCCGCCCGTTTAGTGGCGCTGCAAGTTTTGTCATGTTTCATCACAAAGCTCATTATAACTTTAATGAACAGTTCAGGTAGTCCGTAGAAACTATTTATTCTGTGTTACCTAGTCGAACACAAGGCAAAAGCAAGAAGCGTTCTATTGCTTTCTCGAACGGCTCCTCACATCTTCTCGCATCATTTGAAGACGAGGCTTGTTTTCGCCCATTCCCCATTGAGTTGCAGAGGGGTGTTGCTACCGCGCCTAAAGATGGCGCCCTATGCACGTGACCCCAAATCCTTTAAATGCAGCATGCACCACGTCGTGCTCCTTAGAGGGACGCTAAAGTCAAATAACAATTCACGTCAGACTGAAAGCTCAATGTATGACATCTAAAACGACAATATTATCAACAGTGCCCTACTTACCGAGAAATTAAAGTAAATGCACAAGAAGACAAGCGCCGCAGCAGGACATTTTCAAAATGATCCCGATAATATCAGGAAAACTGCCTACAATTAATCACTAGTGATCGATCTAACTGCACTAAATAAAGAGCCTTCCGTACAATAGGAGACACAATAAAATGCTGCTTGTTCGTTTCTGTTTTATTCATTTAAAAAAGAACTGCCGGACGTTACTATGGCGAATGGCGCGAGTGGTTCAAAAATTCAATTGTCGCGTGGTTATTTGAGACAGGTGGTGCCATCTAGGGGGTGCAGTTGAAACAAAAAACGTCTACAATCTCTAAGCCAATGGCGGAAAATTTATCAATGGCCGTTGTTGCTGCTGTGGCTCCCGCTGCTTTCGGTCTGCTGCTACTAGCGCAGTAAAACCGGGCAACGTTGATTGATTTGTGGCGTTTAACGTCCCAAAACCGCCATTTGATTATGAGAGACGCCGTAGTGGAGGGCTCCGGAAATTTAGACCACCTGGGGTTCTTTAACGTGCGCCCAAATCTGAGCACACGGGCCTACAACATTTCCGCCTCCATCGGAAATGCAGCCGCCGCAGCTGGGAATCGAACCCGCGACGTGCGGGTCAGCAGCCGAGTACCTTAGCCACTAGACCACCGCGGCGGGGCAAACCGGGCAACGTTGCGCACGGCAACAGTGACGTGAATCGGTCCGGTCGGTCCGCTTCTTGAGGCGGGTAATTTGAAGTGCGCTAACCTGATGCGGACCACTAAAACGTGATTTTATTTCAAAATAGGCCCTTCCGTGGCACAAAAGAAACACTACGAGGTTTCTGGACTGCTACTCCAACAATCAATGCCGACTTATTATTTGCCTTTAGTGTCCCTCTAAGAACCTATTTCAAGCTTCTCGTGAGGAAGGTGACTGCAGATGCTCCTAGGGGACGGGTTTGGCTGGCGGAGTGCTCTTACTAGTGTGGCGGCCCCTTGGGTCCCAATCTAGCACTCCGTCCAACCTGGCTCCCCCATTCCTACTGCCATTTGTGATAAATATAATTTATCCATTCTCTCCTGGAAATGCAGCCTTTTCGTGGCTTCACATTTTCTTGTAAATGTTACACAAGTGGGAGAAATAGTTAACTTTTATTTATTTGTACATGTACCTACAGAGCCCTGTAGAGATATTTTTTTGGGGTGGGGGGTCTACAAATAAAAACGTACATACACATCAGTGAAAACAAATTGCACGGCACAAAACAAAACAAGAACGAATGAAAAAGTCATCATTATCGCTATCAGTGCGCTGAAAATCAGCGTCAGATATGTTCCCCTCTGGTTTTTTCCCACCAGGTGCCGAAGTCAACGGCATCGGGTCGGATACCTGTGGCCGACCCCTGGCGGAGCCCTTCAGCTTTCACGTCGATGAGGACGCGTACATTGTAGGCGGGAGGAAAGCGAAACCCGAGAGCTGGCCTTGGCAGGCATCGCTGAAGCTGGCAGAGGACCCCGTGTACGGACACAAGTGCGGCGCCACCCTCGTCGACAGGCTGTGGCTGGTATCGGCGGCACATTGTTTCCGCACGTGGGTTTTAAGATCAAATCACATCGTATCAACTGACTAAATGATGATGAGATGAGGCGAAGCGTCCGTTAGTCCGTCCGCGCTTTTGCTCGCCCGTCGTGCATTCAGACAGAAGACACGCGTCTTTCGACGTAATTTGCAGTGAAGCACGAAAACATGCGGCCAATCTTTTTTTTTTTTTTTGTCTATCTGCGGACCGCCCTTCGCTCCCCTGCGAACGCTTCTGTTCCTAACGTAGTTTTACAGCGCCTCCGAGATCGGACGCATTGCAAGCCTCCTGCACGTCACCTGGTTTTGCACAGCCTCCGCGATCAACCCGCTTTTGACCAATCGAGACCATGTCACCTGAAGGAGTCGGCATGTCATCTTATTTGGCGCAATGGCGACGTTGTTATGATGGCACAGATTTGGCTTTAACACTTAGTTTGCTGACGTCATTACACGACGTTTTTTTTTTTTGCGTCCCTTATGTTGACGCCCATGGCCAATTTTCACGTTTGGTGGGGCATCAAAGCCTTCCCGGTCTTAATAACGTCTATACGGTAATTTTATGTAGCTCGCTGGGAGAGAACCACCTCCCCTAGAGATAAAGTTCATTGAGGTCCGATTTATCTGTCCACCACATGTATCGCGCGTATTATCAATGGAGCACTTTCCTGCTGGCGTCAGTGCATCTGATTGTCTGCGTCCAATATATATACCAGCTTCAGGTGTCAGACATACCTTAAGTTTTCAATAAATACCGAATAATTGCTGTGCCGGCACCGACCTTTTGCACATACAAGCTCGAAACGGTCTTCCGTGTACGCCAGTGTGTGATGCGCCTTTCTTCGCGCAGCGCCTTGTACAGAAAGTCTCCTTAGATGTAAGCGTCCTTTTAAGAGAACAGTCCACTTCCCCCTCGAAAAAGGGTATAGACATTACCAGTTCCGTCGGTTTTTTTATCATTACAATAAAAGAAATAATGAACGAGTTGTGGTTATTTTCCCACTTGGCTGTTTGGGAATAAAGATATTATCCCAGTCAAGAAACTATCTCAGTTACATTGTATAAGCGTACAAAGATTTGTTTCATGTGTCCGTTCCCCTATGTAATATTCCTTCGGGGGCCTTTAGGGGTATTATGAAATAAATAAATAAATAAATAAATAAATAAATAAATAAATAAAACGGGGCCTCCACGACCGGCTGGCGCCCACAAAGCTCGCGACGCGATCTCGGAGGCGATATTTGAAATTAAATCTACAGCAAGTTTCCGACCCTCTCGGGGATTATTCCAAGGAAAGGCACGCGAATTTAAGCAGCGCATATGATCGTCGTCTTCGTCTTTCCTTCGTGACTTTACAGCCACTGACAAAAAAAAAAAACGTTTACCCAATTTCAGGTGGGGAGAGCCGTCGGATTGGGTCGTTTACGTTGGAAAGTACAACCTCTTTGAGGAAGAATCAACGCAGCAGCTGCGCTACGTAGAGTCTATCTTCATTCATCCTGGCTACCAGATGGCTGTAGTAAGTGTGCATACTCATGTCCTTCATAAATCGTATACCTTCACCCGCAGCAGTATATACAATTTCACTTTACTAACGACATACCGCTACTAGTAACGATGCCACTTTAAGCCCTTCGGTGTGTTGGTGCTTGAACAACACTAGTTTTTTGGGCTAGTTGGTTATTCGTCATATTGTAAGATGTGGTCTCTGAGCGCCGAGTGTCGTGTGTGTTACTCGGGTGGATGTGTGAGTGTTTCCAAGAGTCAAGGTTGCGCTAAATATCTTACAATTAGTTCTTGAAGATCGTAGAAGTTTGGGCCCTATTTGTTAATAGGTTCCGACAGGGGATATGAACGTTTACTGCTACAATGTAAAGCCACTGCGGGCACCATCTTCGTCTTTTCTCCTTCGTAGGCTCTTCAGCGATGATCCCTACATGCGTAAACATATTTAAGGTCAGTCAAGCACCGCAGAAATCGTTGACGAAGCAAGCGGGCAACATGACCACACATTTGCCGTATGCTCTGCGGAGCTTGTAGGCTTCAATCTTACTGACCGCTTTTTTTTTTTCAATGTTTCAAGAGACATCTGCTATACTACTTATATTTCGGGTCTCCGAGGGTGTTCGTTCGACAATTGTAGTTGCACTAAGTTCGTATATCCTCCAGAAGTGAAAGGGAATGTCACCCAGGTGTTGAAACTATTTTACCTCGAATGTCTTCGCGAATACTGTTGATTCCTGTCTATGATGTACGACAACGATGTTACATTATTGCGTAATATGTCTCTTACCGTACTGTCTTGACAATAAGTTGCATGTGGCCGAAAATTCGTGTGCTGCGAATCTGGTGACTCTCATTGTTACACTGAAGCAGGTCCTCAACAAACTCATCAAAGTATACACATGCTTCTGTTACGTCTGATCGGAGCATATCTTATCGCTCTTCACACTGGTTTTCCAGAAACCCGTGCTGGTCGAAAACCGCAAAGATCACGACATAGCGTTGATCAAGCTCAACGCACCGGTGACGCTCAATGGACAGGTGCAGCCAATATGCTTGCAGGAGCTACCCGACCTCGCCGATAACACGACGTGCTACGTCACAGGGTGGGGTGCGACCCGCGGTAAGTCGCTCTGCCGTATCTGCGTAAGGTGCATCCTTGGCCCTTGTGCCACAAGTTACCATGTATAGCATCATCTGCCTCTTGAACATGTGATAATGGGCGCCACGGTACCGAATCTTCACTCATGCTTCGGGGCTCACAAACAAGTTGGCGAAATCTCGGTACATTTCTTCGCGCACTTGACTTATAATTGAATATGTTGTGAACACGCGAGTGGGCCGAGAGTCGGACAACACTGGCGCAAGCCGTGACGTAAAAAGCGGCTTGCTGTTCTAGCGTCTGCATTTCCTGCGAACAGTTTTGTTCTGTGGTCAGCGTGCACGTGCAGTCGAGCTATTTCGGCACTTTTAAACCTTGGCATTGAAATGGATCGATTTGTAGTGTCTGAAGTCTTGGCCGAAGTCGCCGGCCTCGCTCCAGGCTGCGCATGTCGTCACACATGCCACGGTAAAATCGCGGTCGGCGGTGGTGGGCGGGGTTTACAACCGGCGACTGCTAATGCCTGTTTTGCACTGAAATATTGTTTTGCGGTTCATTTTTCATACACTCATAGGCACAATAGACTACCTACCCATGTTTATTTTCATAACAATCGCAAATCGTAGGGTGACCCTATCACGGCCTCTTGATCGAACTAAATCTAGATTAGAACGGTATAGAAAACTGCGTTGCTTACTGATACTTCCATTCAAATGCATCTTCATTCAACCATCCGATGGTGACAACAGTTGAGAAATACTCTCCACATAATTCTTCCAGGTGCGTGATACAAGTTTTAATCCGGATATTCGTGGTATATGTACGATATTAAGGTACGCGTGCGCTCAATGAGGAAGGCACTAACAAAAGGGCAAGCACAAGAAAATATTTTTTCACCCTGCTTACCAGTATATTTTTTTCGGATTCGAGGACAAATAGTACCTTTGATTTCGTTAATGTTTTGTGTGGCCTTTCGTAGGAACTCAGCGGCAAGGATGTCGCGTTTCTAAGCTTGACGTAACAGTTTCGATACATATTGTAAACTGTATACGACAGTTACGTTCCGTCCACTTCCGCATTTACTTCAAGCTTGGCATTTTTTTTTCTCCTAGTCAGATATGACTGACCGGTGGTTTATTGCCAAATGAAGGCGCGTGAGGAGCTATCTGCATATCTTTCATGGGCGAGGCATCATTAAGCCTCACAATATCCGTCCGTCTGAAATTTGTCGGTGCCGTACTACACAGTCAAGCGCACGGGTGCCATCTGTGCGGCGTCGTGAGAAAAAAAAAAAACTGCATTGATCAATTCAGTTACAGCACAGTGCCGCCAGTGGTCACTGAAATAGGCGCAGGCTCACCGCACTTGTGCCGCCGCCATGGAAGAAAGCGAATGTAAGGCGCTCCATGCACAGCTCAGCGGGGACGCCGCCAGTCCAAACCCGAGCTGAGAGCTCAAAAAGCCGCAGCAATACGGGAAAGTCGACAAGTAGATTTTGAGCTGACAGCGTGGAAACAGTGATCAAACATCGTCATTTCGTGGATGATTAGCGGTATCCTGCATGGTGCTTTGTCCATCGTTACCATTCACTCCGTGAATGTTTTCTTCTTCTTTTTATTGCGATAGCAATTAGACGGACACTGTCGGCTGGATTTTGCTGCCGGCATCGCCGTCACTCACCGTCTATGTATACCTATCTGTATCTATGAAAACCCAAGAAAGAAACATAATCCAGAAAAAAGAATCCGGTGCGCGGAATCGAACGTTGGACCTCTGAATTGCGAGTGCGAGGCGTTAGCCACTGAGCTACGAAGGAGCACCTCCTTCAACATTCGAATGGCAAGCTATTTATACCTACCACTTGCCGCTGGTGACGGGCATCTAGGGGGAACTACCGCTTTTTCAGCATTACCAGCAAGATGGCGCAATAAGTGCGCGTCGCCATATCGTCACGACGCAGTGGCGCGCGCTGTTATCTCCCACGCATACTTTGCCCCACGAAGAGGAGGTGGGCGGACGCTCATTCGCGTGTCCTTGTGTCGCGTTGGGGAGGATCGTACGCCTTGGATGGCCTTGGACTTTCACCGGAACGATTCTGTTGTAGTTTGCGGGCGCACAAAGGTCACTGCAATCGTTGCACAGTCTCCGTTTGCGTAAATGGCGCGCTTTACAGACACAGCGAAGTAACAACTGAGGCGCTTATTCGTGTTCATCTCTACCTGTGAGTGCGTCATTTGTGCGTGAGAAACGTGGGGGCACGTTTTGATCTGCTTGTCATTTCGCGCGTGACTTTCCAATTTGTTGTTATCGCGTTCATTGCTTTGCTTTTGCGGCAAAGCTGTGACTTCTTTTCGTGAGCTTTCCAATCGGATTGAGGAGTTCTTACTCTGTCTGTCACAGAATCGCTAAAATACTTTACAGAAGAGGTGGAAAACATGGGTGTGTGAATATTCGAAAATTCCAAATAACGAATTGAGGAGCATTGTATTCGATTTGGTACTGATATCGAGTAGCGCATGCCGTATATGTAGAGTACTTTTCGAATAATTTTTCTAAAATTGGCTTCTACGGGAAAGCCCTAAAGGAACAATACGTTAAAAGAGCGAAGGGTCATTTTTCTTGTTTTAATTAGTGAATTGTTGAGATGCATGTACTTCTTTTTTTCCCTCGCCGCTGTGATCTATAGTGACTAAGGTACTCGGCCGCTGACCCACAGGTCGCGGGATCGAATCTCGGCTGCGACGGATGCATTTTCGATGGAGGCGAAAATGCTTTAGGCCCGTGTGCTCAAATTTGGGTGCACGTTAAAAAAAATCCGGGTGGTTGAAATTTCCGGAGTCCTCCACTACGGCGTCTCTCATATGGTGGTTTTGGGATGTTAAACACTGCATAGTAATCAATCGAGTGCATGCACTTCAAGCGTTTACGAGATGGACGAAGCATTGTACTCGCAACTGGCCCGTCGCTCGGTTGGTCGGTCTCTTTATTGAGAGGCTCTGAGGAGTTTTAAGCCGCCGGGGCACCCACGGGAGACACCCCAACAGCCGCTATCTTGACCATTTCCAGTTGAAGGAATTTTCGCGTTTAACTCGAGTTTCACCAAAGCGAATGTGCCGTCAATCCACGGTCATTATCGTGACGTTCGTGGTGTCAATTCGTGAAACATGCTTCAAATAAAAACTTTTAGGTCTTAGTGTTATTTGAAAGTTGGCGACAAAGTAGCACCTCAAATACTGAGGTAACTGCTGTATTCACTCTACATTTAGGCATGGAGATAAATGGACAGATGCGACTAAGAAGTTTGCGGGGATTACGGGACCGGGTTTATTGGCGAAACGTGGGAGTGGCTTGTGCCCGCCATTGGGCGTAGTCATGATGATGATGATGATACTCGAAAACATGTCACTTGGAGCGTTACTTTGCTGCCGCTCCAAAGCACGCACCATTGTTTTTTTTTATTTCTGCCGTACACCGAAATTTTCCGCAAGAGGCCGAGATGAGCCCCGTGCTGAAGCAGGCCGCCGTGCTGGTGCTTCCACTGGACGAGTGTGCCAGCTATTACAACGGTACTTGCGTGATCAACCAGCTCATGTACTGCGCGGGCTACGAGGACGGCCGACACGACTCTTGCCACGTAAGCAGCAAATTCTCACGTGGTTACTTTAAGTATGATTGCGTTACTGCACAGTGACACAAGGAGCGACGCGGTTGTATTTCAAATATTGTATTTCAAACATTGTATTTCAATTTCAAAAAATATTTTGAATCTCCAACTCTTTTCATCCACCATTCTGTCACGTGGTTATATATTTCACTCACGGATGCCTAACGCATTATACCTGGTCTTCTCTTATATCGTGACGCCCCGCCGCGGTGGTCAAGTGGTTAAGGTACTCGGCTGCTGATCCGCAGGTCGTAGGATCGAATTCCGGCTTCGGCGGCTGCATTTTCGATGGAGGCGAAAATGTTTTAGGCCCGTGTGCTCAGATTTGGGTGCACGTTAAAGAACCCCAGGTGGTCGAAATTTCCGGAATCTTCCACTACGGCGTCTCTCATAATCATATGGTGGCTTTGGGACGTTAAACCCCACATATCGATCTCTTATATTGTGACAAAACAGAACTGTAGAAAATTTGAGAGAAAAAACCAGCGAAAATGTGACACTGATTAAGAACGTGACGGGGAAACGTTTTGGCTGCCTAGTCTGGTTGTTATTCAGCACTGTCTTAGTTTTATTTTCGCTGGTTTCCTCTTTCGTATCGCATAAACCCAAGGCACCCAGCAAGCTACGTTTTAGAAAATTGCCTGTAACATATTGTAGAATTATAGGCGTTGAACTCGGATTACTCCGAGCCGTGGACTTCGTTGAGAAATTCGAATGATTAACTGATGATTTAACTTGAAGTCGCTCATTATTGTTCTAGTTAACTAACTTGATTTGCTGATGTAAATTACGAATTGTGGCCGGCATAGTAGCCATTAGACATTCAAGTCCATGCAAATCATATGAGGAAGAACATTGCTTAGGTGGAGGGTAACATTTGATCGCCCTTAGGTTTTTTGTTATTAGGTAAATCTTATCAGTTATGGTGTAAATTGTCTGCTCGAGTTGTAGCCTAACTACTTTCGCGATAATAATAAAATATTGATACAGGGATGTTTTCAGAAATAAAATCAAGGTCTTTTTTTTTGCTGACGTCTCGTTGTGAAGGGTGACAGCGGAGGGCCCCTGGTGGTCAAACAGGGAGGCAGTTGGCAACTGGCCGGTGTCATCTCGGGTGGACTCCGATGCGGCGAGCCGCGACACCCAGGCATCTACACCAAAGTGACACCTCACTACTCTTGGATACGCGACGTCATAGCAGGAAACGTTACGCACTCCTGACGTCACTCTCGCCGGAACGTTGGACGGTGCATAGAGAGCAAGAGTTAGGACCGAGCAACGAATCGTGCACGCGTTTGATAACGCAAGCATCGCACCCGTGGTTTACTTGTTATACAAGGACGTACACAGCACAGTAAAAACATCAACGAAAAAAGCTTACACAGAGTTTTTATTATACAGTGACATCACAGGTGGTGAAACAGAACTACATGAAGCCTTAAGTTTCAGGGACAGCAATCGAAGACTTAACACGTCCGTTATGGAGATAAAGGCCGTTGAATTTTTCGTGACAGAAAACTAGAGACGAATGACAAAAATAAATGGTGAGAAAAATAAGGACAATCTGCCGTATGGGGCCGAGAACCAAGCAGCGAATTTAAGCTTCTTTTAGGGGCGATGCTCCTCAAGCCGCTGGCCGTTCCCTCCTCAGTAGCAGTAGCAGTAGCAGTAGCTGCAGCAGCATCAGTAGTAGTAGTAGTAGTAGTAGTAGTAGTAGTAGTAGTAGTAGTAGTAGTAGTAGTAGTAGTAGTAGTAGTAGTAGCAGTAGTAGTATGTGGCCACATCCCGTTTGAGTTGGTCAATAGATGGCGTTGTGTGTATATGTTCTTGGGAATAATATAACTAGATGGCGTTAGTGGTTTTCATCATATTCATACAGTGTGTGATCATTAGTGGAGCGAAGAGTCCGTCCGTGTGTCCATCCGTCCGTCCATGCTTCCATCCCTCTGTCCGTCCGTCCATGCGTCCGGGATTCTGTCTGTCTGTCTGTCTGTCTGTCTGTCTGTCTGTCTGTCTGTCTGTCTGTCTGTAGATCTGTCTGTTTGTCTGTAGATCTGTCCGTGATTCCGTGCGTCCGTCCGTGTATCCATCCGTTCGTTCGTCCGTTCGTCCATCCGTGCGTCCACCCGGATGGACACACGGACGGACGAACGCTTCGCCCCACTCGTCATTCACTCCGTGGATATGCTGCGACTTTTTTCTATGGTAAGATCGATTTACTCGAAGTAGACAAGGAGTCAGACGAACACATTTTTCATTTTTTATTTATTTATTTTGTCGAGTCTGGCGGCACATTTGTCGCCGGGCTATTATAAAAATGAACGCCCGTCCATCGCTATCGCACGCCCTGCACTCGAGGCAAAGTTAGCATAAGCATCGTGCATTCCCACATGCTCAGGAGACATCGAAGGGCAAGCACTGACACAAATTTCAAGTGACATTGCCAAATATACCTAACCATAGGCTTCCAACTTAATTTGGAGGCTACTGTAATGCTTGACTTAAGCTCATGACACTCTTAGAAGAGGCGTGTCGTTTCTCTTTGGGGGTTCATCAATCTCATCATGAGAGTCTTGCGACCCACGAGAGAGTCAACGAGTCTCTTTAAAGAGAGTCGTACATGGTCAGCCAGAACTACCAGAAGAGAGCCAAAAATTAACACTTTTTTTCAGAGCGTGGTAGTGGCACGGCCACGTCGGCAGTCGTGCTCTCTAGTGTACTCCTTCAGACAACATTGCGTCTCGTCGTGCGGCTGATGCGTATCTCGGAGGCCACATAGGAAGAAGCGCGTGGTTCAGATCCGCTCCACTAGGTGTCGCAAAGAACCCAGCCGCTCATGAGAAAACTCGCCTGCTATTTTAGGGAAACCAATAAATAATTTTTATTAATCATGCTGATATTGAATTTGTCCTTATTTTGAGTAAACTTATGCTCCGATATTATATGTATTGAATGTAACCATTAACTTGAACAGATATAACAACAATTCCATACTGCTTTTAATAAAAATGATAGACTTTCTTAGGATTTTTGAACGCACGAATTTCGGTCTGTCCGTCCGTTTGTCTGTGTGTCCGTCTTTCTGTTTGTCTGTCCAACGAAACGATTCGGCCATCCGGCCAAATTTTAAGCTCTTGCTGAATTCCCAGCCATCTCGAACCAGCTGCTGCGTTGATACTAGTCTTCATGGTCGATCAAAAAGTGAATATTGCGGACATCTGAGGCGCAACATCAGTGCGTAAGTATCAGATGCTTTGTTGATTAAGTAGAAAATGCATAGATACGTAATTCTCAAGACCCTAGGGTTTCTTACTCTGCACCTAAAATGCGACGCTATGCGCGAAAGAAGGCCGACAGAAGAGTCGACTACACTTGCTGCGAAGGATGCAGTTACACAGTCATTGATAATGCGTTTTTAGGTAGTTGTATATCTACGAGCTAAAAATAAGCGACAACTCATTTTTTGATACCGAGTATAGATGATCTGCACGGAAAATATTTATTGGGTGAATTGCACTCTTTGGCTATTAACACTTTTTTTTTTTATTAAACAGTCATGGAAATAATATGGCATAACTAGGTGTCTGGTGGTCAGTCCAGTGTATGGAGTCTTTCGTGATCACTTGTCGGTGCGCTGCACAATCCTGCTTCTCAGTTGTCCTGGAACTGAAATAACAGCGCGAACAACGGGAGAAAAGTGTAAGCATAAGAGTTTTTGAGCACTAACGTAAAATGTCTCCCAACACATCTATATGAGGACCTGAATCGACGAAGCGTAGTGTTACTTCTTGTTTGCTATATTTTTCATTGCTGTTAATACGAAATTTTTTAATAAAATGTACACTAGGATTTCAGGTGGAGTTTGTAGGCTCGTCTAAGCAACAGTTTTCAGTGCTGGAATTTTAAAATGAAAAGCTTGCTCGTGCGGGAAAGGGATCATCTCGTAGTCAAGATGAAATGCAAATTGGACGATTAATCACTTTGAAAGGAATAAATCAGTAACTAGGTGACGAGTTAGAACTGGGCGCATATTAAATTGAACCCACTTATAACGATACCGGTTTTAACAGTACATCTGTAAAACAACGAGACCCTGCTGCACCGTCAACATTTGTATGCTTTCTGTGGTGAAATAATCCGCTTACAACAGTGCCCGCATGCCGAATTATCGGTGATAACAATGAACTTGGGCAGCAAGGTGTCCGTGCCGAAAAATAATGGAACGCGAGATTAGTGGAGCGAAATAAAAGGAGAAATTCAAACTGCTCGACCCATGCCCACAACCCCAACGTTCCCCGGTTGCCCCTTCGTATTTACATTATGCTTAACCGCATAGTAGTGTAGTAGTGGGGCAAAGCTCACTTTTGAACTCCACTACTGCACAGGAGCGGCGATGGCTTCTGTTAACACTTTCGGGCATGCAGCTTGAATAAAAAACTGACTCTTGAAAGAGCTTCGCCGTCTGAAACCTAAGACGGTGTGATGAATCGGCTCTATTGGGCTTGTGGAGGTCCCGTGAAAGCATTCGAATTTACAAGGATGTCCGAAAAAACCGCAGCGTCGTCATTCGTATTTCCGATGTTTGTTGGCACATCCCATGTAACATTATAGTTTTCTCACAACAGCCCGTCATCCGACTATCTTTTTGTATAACCCGTTTATCAAGAATATTGGTTGTAAAAATGAAATTTTCGTGGCACTTGGAGTATTGCTATAAATGAGTTCGAATGAGGTAAACCAGCGCTCACTAAGGTCAAGGCACTAGAGTAAAAGATCGGACAAGCACAGACAGGTCATCTTGCTACTCCGAACAATCAGCATGGACAGGAAGCAATTGTGCACCCCCCTACTGCCCTCATCCCGTGTTCTTCCTTCTATACAGGTGTCTCTCCCTCAGTTCCGTTTTAGTTCTGAATTAACTGTTGTCTATAGTGATGAAAATGTTGGACAGTGTTATTTGATGTTTCCTCACACGACACTTCAACAGGTGCCTTTGAAGTGCTTTACGAAGGTGGGACATGTTCGACTCAGTACGAAAGTCTGTGGTGGTGCGCTGAAGGCGCCTTTCAATCCTGAAATAATCGGGTAAGGGGCCAGTCGTGGCTTTGTATGTGTCGCACTTCGGTGGTGCACGATAACCGACTGGGGGAAATATCGTCTGGGTCTATAGGTCAGCCGGAGTCGAGAGAAAGGATTATTACATTAATTTCACACGGATTTCGTCATAGTGCGCCGTTGTGTGCACGCGCGCGTGCACACACTTAGCGAGGAAAGTAAAAGTGGCACAATTCTTTCGTTAATAAGTTGAAGGGTGTATAAAATTATGAATTAACCCGCACGTGCATAGTTCAAGTACTGATATCCGAAACTATAGATCGTCTTTTTCAAATATAAAATCGAAACCAATATTTCGCAGCACTTGTCGACTACAGTGCTCAGGTTTGTGTGATTCGGACCCGCAGTACCCATTTGAAAAAGACTCATGAGAGCAGGAACCCCCGTGTAAAAATGCGCATATTTCCCAGGAGAAGAGGAGAAATAAAAAATACGGGCACTATATGATGAATTTTGTGCCAGCTTACCTCAAGAAGACATCGTTTTCTCGCCTCTCGTGCCTAGAAAGAGAGAGATGAATGAAAAGGGGTGTGTTTTTATACGCAAGACGACTAACAGACAGGTTATGTTGGCAGCGTTACTGCAATCTTACCATATGTTCTGGTATCCTCCAACGGTAAGTGTTCACGATGCAATCCTTGCACTTCTTCGCGACTTCCTGAAATATGCAAGCAGACGACGGAGCGTGCTTCAGCTGTAGGTTGTAACAGAGCAGGAAAGACTGCGGACTCATGTACAGTCGTCAGCACGCTAAATAGGAACGCTCATCAGCCTGGCCTTTACCCTCGGTAACTGACGCCTGCACCGTGAGGTGTATCTTGGTATGTTCGCAGCTGCTGACGATAGGTGGAGCGCAGCTCGATTTGACTGATCGCCTTCTCTTTCGCTTGCGTCTACTGCGGAAAGAGTGGGCTCGCTATTAGCGTTTTTTTTTTTATGTCTGTCCCGCATTCCTGTATCGCAAAAGCCCAGCGTTGTACCGAATAGCGTATGTCATAGCCACCACCACGTTATGTGGCGCCAGCTATGGAAGATAAAAAAAAAGCACAACTAACAAGCTTGTAATCTATGTCCTCCAAGATTGCGGGAGCGTGCCTCGCCTCTATCTAAGCCTACAGCGACGTTCGCAAGCATCGAACGAACGCCATTAAGTGAAAGCCACATATTGTCAGCAATGAACGACCAGACAGTGTCAAAAACTGCTACAAAGGCTATTCTAGACTTTTTAACAAGCACTGGACTAGATTCTAGACTGTAGGGTACTA